GCTGAAACAATAATCTTTGAAGCTATAGAGGAGCTATTTTTTGAAATATTTTATAATAATGTATCCATTGCCTAGGCGTTTCTGTATTAGAAAATAGAATTAATCGGTGTATAACATGCTTATAGCTTCGTTATAGTTATTATGACCAGAACTCAAGTATTTAGGTCTGAACTCGAAGAGCCACTTGATTCGTCCTTCTATATAGCTTACCGAACCTCTGAGAATAATACGCAGTTCAAAATTATATATTTGAACAATATCGAAAGAGTTTAATGTGATACAATCTGTAATACTACTTAGCGAAAGTACAAAACTACCCCAACAATGCCGACTGGTAGCTATACAGTTCAGAAGTTTCTAAAATACAAAATACGTAGTATACAACTAAATCACCTGACCAAACACATTTTGAAATTACCTGATAATCAATAAAAATGGTTCCCATTAGGATGGAATTAAAATTCTGTCAGCTAGATTCGAACAGAACAAAAACTGGTGGGGACCACCAGATCAGGGCAGTTCCTAGCCGATGACATTGGATCGTGGTTGCGGTAAAATCATGAATTGGTAGAAGCTGGAATTTTTTGCACCATTGGATCGGGTCCCAGCGGCTAAATGATCTACGAGCTCTCCTGGAGGTCCTGGGTTCGAAACCCGGAGTCTGGGTACTGCTGGAGAATCCCAAACTAGGACTAAACAGCTGTTCGGTATTGTCCCATTTTCGCTGCTGCTCTAACTGACATCCGTGAGTGGTTGAAATTCAGGACAAAAACATACTTCCTGAGGACAGTCCAAAGAAAGGCATTCATCTCTGCAAGTAAGAACAATAGCTTTATTCCAAACAGTATTTTGGCATAAAAATGGAATTTTCAACATATAGTATATGTAGCATAGGCTAGCAACCCCATCCCACAAAAATAATCACCACTGCTACAGGAATTTCATTGCTCTAGCTTGAAGCCATATGTTCCACTGGAAACGTATGGGAATAATAATATCCCCGCTAGGCAGACTTATTCAAGATTCCTCATACTTTCCAATTCCCTCCAAATATATTGTTTAAAAGTGAAATTTCATATAAATATATTATTGTGGGTGAAAAAATGTTATTAAAAACACTACCAACTTCCCAGGTGCAACACTCGTGTATTCAGTGGTATTCAACGGGAAAACTTTCACTTCAATCATTAATTTTTACTTAAGTAGTTCCCGTAAGTAAACTAAAATTATCTCGTCTCTCAAATTTTCGCGATAATCACAACTCAAACCACTATTTCACACCATAAAGCAACATCCACAAAGAACTACATACTGTCATTACCAATGGAAAATTGGTGAATTTTAGTTCATACTCTGTAGGTAAATATATTTCCAAAAAAATTAAACGTGAAACTATGAATACACTAAGACGATAATTGTATTTTATCGTCCCCGAAATAAACAGGTTGAAACAAAACTTTCTATAATTTAAATTGAGCGAAGCAAAATAATGTGCGAAATTTCAATTCATTCGGAAATTGCTATGAAGAGCATAAATGTGTGCTTGCGCTGTGTTAGTATGAGATTCAGGTGTTGTGCAAAAGTGTATCCTGTTGCTGGGTGTTAGTAAATGTGATGAGGTTTGTAATGTGAATGTGTGTTGTTTGTGGTTAGTGTTTGTCGTTGCATGTAGTGTTGCGTTTGGTTGTTAGCTGTGATGTTGAGTAGTTATGTGTTGGTGTTTGTGTTGTTGGATGGATCTGTGTGTTGACGGTTGTCGGCCGAACGTGCTCCGGTAGCTTAGTTGGTTAGAGCGCCGTACTTATAATGCGGAGGTCGAGAGTTCGAGCCTCTCTCGGAGCACGGGTTTTAGTCGGCGAATGCATCCCAACTGCACTTTGCAAAAGTCGTTCGCTGTCAACCTGTCTGAATGTGTCTCTGTGTACGTGCCTGCCTGCGTGTTTCGCAGACCGTGCACACAAGTGCGTGTTCTCAGGTGTGCGTTGCATCGCATATATGTTAAACTGTCATATATGAGTATTTGTCTTTATGAGCGTGTATTTTCTTTGTTATATGGAAAATACGTCAGTTCATAAGTGAAAAACATGGCAGTATTTTACAGACCTCACAACATAGGACTGAAGATTTTTCATCCTCAGCTGTTTTTTGCTCATATACAGTCTGCCATATGGGTGATAAATCTACCCCTTCTCCCCTATTTACTGCCTTCATTACGGTTAAAATATGCAAGGCTTCAGAGGTCAGCTTTTTTGTATGTGAATGAAAGCCTTTTCCTAGAGTTTCCACAATGTCAGAATCGATATTATGTCCGCTTTCTATAGCGTGCATTGCACTAGCCAATCTTTTTTCAAGACTCTCTAATTCAACTTTACTTCTAGACTGACGTTTCGTGCACAGCCTGTGTTCATTCACTCTGACCTTCACCTGTCTACTGCATTCGAAGAATGTTATTTTGGTTTTTTCTTAAGTTGGCTTTGGTAATTTTAAGTAATTTATAATGATTTAATCTGACTAGGTGTTCAAGTTATGCCAGGAAATTCCAAACAAATAGTCTGGATATTTATGAATACATATGCTTTATTTAGTTGTTACTTAATTACTGTAAAATATATTAACACAAAGGCATGATGTAAATGCCATCGATTTTCTAGTGGTAATCATGGGATGTATTTCTTTTTCTATAGTTTGGTTTGTAAGGATTAGTTATGTTTTACGAGTTGATCACGGACTGATATCAGTTAGAGAACCATTGAAAACCAGGGAGTACTGGACAGCTGCTGTTTCATCCTAGTTTGGGAATCATCGGCAGTACGCACCCACTGGGATTCGAACCCGGGACCTTCCGGTTACAAGGCAAGCTCGTATACCATTCGGCCACTGGGACCCGATTCAATGGCTCATGAATTCTAACTTCTACCAATTCGTGATTTTAGCGCCACCCCAACTATTGTCGTTGGTGGAAATCCATCCACACGTGACTTCTAATTGGACCTCACTGGTCACGACTTCTCACTAGAACTGCAGGAAGCTCCAACCTGTAGCAAGTCACTAGCGAGCATCAGAATAATTTTCTATAGTTTGGTTTGTAAGGATTAGTTATGTTTTACGAGTTGATCACGGACTGTATTTCTTTGTAAATGTTACTTTACAACACAAGTACTTTTCTCAATTATGACTATTACTAATATTTCACAAACGAAAAACTTTGAGCATTACCTCAATGACTACTTAAACAAATATCAGTAGCTCAATAAATAAGTCGATATTTTCAAAATTGTAGAATCCTGAGTACACGAGCGTTGCAGTTTAGTGTTTCCCTATACTTATTAATAACGTTTTCCATTAAAAATAATGCGATTCTGCAAACCTTCACCCTATTGCGGATTTTTTGAGGAAATTCGAGAACTCAGAGATAGTGAAACCACTTGGGAAATATTTCTCACTCAAATCAAAGTAGACAGATACAAGGCATACATTCTATCAGATTAACTGCGCCAACTGTAAAAGACACTATATTGAATGGAGCCTAAACCACTCTAAATCTTCTCATCCAAGAACATAAACTAGTAATCTGAAGATACTATGCGTAAGATCTGTAATGTAATGCGTGCGGATAACTAAGAACAGTCAAACTGAGGAAACTACAGCAATTTTAAATGATCAAAATGCTTAGAATAGCTTAAGATCTCTGGAATCCTAGTGGTCAAATCAATGAGCATCTCAAAAACATTTCGATGTGGATCAATGATCCTATACCATACCGACTTCACCATGATAGAAGATTATTTTATTTATGGAGTATTTGAGAAGTTTATTTCACGACGAAGCTGTGTCTGAATATGGTGTTTTGGTACGACAACGAATACTCGACCTTCCAGCTTAGGGGAGACACTGGAGCTGTAAATTATTTTATTCCAATTGCTTTTCGCCTCAAGTTAAAACTGACATTCCATTCTGTCTTGCTTTGAAAGTAATATATAAAAAATATTCTTCAGGTAACATCTAGTTACGTCAGTACAATGTAGACCCAAGGTTGTAATTATCTAATTCCAGTTGCTGAACCCAAAGATTTCAGCTTAAATTCACGTAAGATTTAAATACCATACGTCAAGATAAGCGAAAATAATGTTAAGTATATTCGTGGAAACCACTCAAACCAAGTTTGTTAAAGCCCTGAGGATGATCACCTTTTATCAGATTTATACTGACAAATTTATCCTAGCTACTGAAACCAAGGTTACTTGTGAATCTGACCTGCGCTAACTTCTTCCACTACGTAGAAGATGACTGACCTGACAAGAAGTTCACGTTAACTGTGATTGGTATTCTTCCTTATAGGGTTATTCCCCGTCAACCACCAGAGGTGACTTTCTTCGTTTTCCAGCCATCCTACGGTTTTCTATTCTCTGCCAGATTTGGGTTGTGACTGAGTCTTATGGGTGGTTATGTCTGTACTCTCCGCATCTCTTGCAGAGACTTCACCCTTGGGTACACTGCCAACTCAATGTACCTCATTCTCAGACAGAAAAGACTTCAAAATTTCAGGAGAGAGATAGCCTTTTTATTATTATTATTATTATTCAAGAATGAAATACAAGAGCAAATAACGGAAATATTATTAATAAAGCACTGAAAGGAATCGACAAGGATGACAAAAAATTCGTGAACTTTATCTGAAATTGTCATCACAGTTACGAAATATATTATTATTATTATTATTATTATCATGAAACACGTCTCATTATATTATTCAAGGAAGAAATGAACTCAGGTATGAAGTTCCACATTTCAAAAGGAAAATGAAAAGTGCAAAACTCAAATAAAAAATAAATGAAACATAAAACAGTCTGTTTAATTACAAAAGGAAAAGGAGAGAGATAAAGAGAAAACAATAACAACGCTGAACAATGAAATGTGTCAATTGAAGTGAAAATATATTTACAGTTCTCAAAGTGAACACAGTGTAAAAGAAGACAAAAAGTAAAAATTAAAAAAAAAAGTTATGATAACTCAAAGCCAGCATGACTATTTATTGCATATCTCAGCTTCTCTTTCAATGCACTCCGAGATGAATAATTCGGTAGTTTAAGGAGATTAAAACAAGTTGATGCAGTCGGCAAACGAGAGACTTCTTCACGACGTCCAACAACACCAAGAAATCCTTTTAACACTGATCCCAGGGTGTCTCCAACATCCTATGAAAATAAGGAGAAGGCAAATAGATATTTATGATTACTTATGTAGTTCTATGAATAATGGGGAACTTTCTATTCCACAATATCACCTTTAAACCAAAACTAGAAGGTCGGGGGTTTGATTTCTGGTGCGGTCATGAGTGTGCGCTGCTTCAGAGTCATACAACAGGGAAGAAACAGTTGCCCAATACTCCACTTCCTGGTTTCCAATGATTCTCTAAGTGAAGTCGATTAGTGACGAAATCTACGTCTAAATTAACCCCACAATACTACACAGTTATCCAAACTGAATTATGTGGAACGTGACTTGACCTCGACATTCATCGACTAAAATTTACCTGATTAAGCCAGCGATGATCACTAGGGACTTGCCCTATTCAGGTAGGTAGTTACCCCTGGGGTTTTAGTAACAAGTCGTGACCAGTAGGGTGCAGCAGATCGGGTGTGAGGACAAATACTCACCGAAGACATTGGCTAGGGTTCGCGCTTTGTCGTGAATTGGCAGAAGTTAGAATTCATGGACTGGTCATTGGATCGGGTCCCAGTGACTTAATGGTATACGAGCCCGCCTTGTAACTAGAAGGTCCTGGGTTCGAACCCCCGTAGGTGAGTACTGATGAAGAGTCCCAAACTAGGACGAAACAGCTGTTCAGTACTCCCAGATTTTCCAGTGGTTCCCTAACTGATGTCAGTTCATGGTGAAATCCTGTAACCAATCTGTCAAATCCCTAAAAACCAACACTTGAACATATCCATCCACCTGGATAAGGTTCAGCAAGATGGTAAGGCGATAGAAGCTAAGCAGTTTTATTATTTTGTAAGTGTTAAAATATTTATGATTGCTTTCGACGTGGAACCTAGATAGGATTGTCAGCTTTCTTTTAAAGCTTCGACACTTTAGCAACGCTTGTGTGTCGTTTCAACGGAGTCAGCATGTGAACGCCCAGGTCCAACCATCCCTCTTCTCCGGACTTTCTACCACCAGCTAGATGAGGTTTAGAATTGCAGGGCCACGTGTATGGCTAAAGTGCATTTTCCCTCTGAACCTCCGGAGCAGCTAATCGAGTACTTCAACAATAAAAATAGAAATTTTATAATATAACTTCCCCATATAAACTGCTGATACAAAACTACCCTTCCAGGCAACAATTTACGCAAAATGAACATAGCGTCGGTGGCACAGCGGTTGGGACGCTCACCGACTATGCACGTGGTCCGGGGTTCGACACCCGGCCGACGCAATCCTTTACCTGTCTAAGCCAGTAATAAAAAGCTGGTAAAGAGGGGAGGTTGGGCATGAGGCTAGCAACCCCATCCTGTAAAAAATAAACACTGCTACATAAACTTCAAACCTGTAGCTTGAAGCTCTATGTTCCACTGGGAACATGAAGGAATAAAAAAAGAACATAGCCCTAAATGATAGCAGAGCAAGCCAACCGGCTTGTTTTAACTGAAACAGTTTCTAAAAAAATATCTTAAACATAAGGCACCAACTCCTAGAACAGTAATGTGTAAGTGGAGCAGGGTTGAGATGGAAAAAAACATAGATGTGAAGATGGTTAAACACTCATTCAATATTATTGTGCAGCAACACAGTATTACTACATTATGGTTGAGACATACAGTTGTTGATGGTAATGAAAAGGCTACAACTGCTTATTTGCAGTTCTTTTGAATCTCTCTCCTTTACCTTTGCGTGCTACGCAGAGTGTGGCAACTTGAAGCGCTTCACTTCTGTACAAAGTCCCTTGTTGAAACTCACTTATGACTAATTCTATATTAGTTTATTTATTAGATGTATCACACAATGAACAAACAGGATTATTTACTGGATGACCTTTCGAACAAAATTTATTGCGGTTCAGAATCATATCAATTGTAATCACACGACTTTGAAACTTGAGTTTTATAGCTTTCTTTGTTCTCCCCTATTTGTCGTAGGGATAGCAGAATTTTCCAGATATCTGGGTGGGCAGGTGGTGAATCATTCCTATTTCACGTATTCGCTCTCAGTTGATTCGATAAACAAAGCTTCCGTTGTCATCAATCTCTCCCTCCACCCTGTTACATTGGGTTTTAAAACTTTCATCTTATCGTATGGTTGTGTGTAATTGCATGTTGTAAGTGGTATAGCTGAACTATTCTCTAGATTTCTTATCTTATTCGGGTCAACCAATCCAGATTTTGTTAGGTTTTTATGTTCGGCTAGTCTGACTGCCCCTGTTCTACTATTTTGACCTGACAATCATTCAGCGGGGTATTAGATAAACTAAACTTTTGTTTTAATGGCTCCACAGGATTGATCCTTTAACCGACAAAGCTTGTTTCTGATTGAGTTTGTGGGTTTATTTCTGCATTGTTAAGAATTCTGCGTAAGGTTTCCGAGGTTCCTTCCTTGTACGGAATTACTACCGATGATTTAGATTCCTTATTGTTGGTGTCGTCACTGTTATTATTATCACTTATGACTATACAACTCATAGATGTTCATTTAGTATTCCAACTGAGCTAAAACAAGGAGCACAGACGACTAATACACAACTTAATTGTGAAAATAAGTGAAAGTAAGCAGACTAAAACATCAATATGAAAAATAAAAAATAATGCTCGGGGAGGTTTTGTGTGCTATTGGAAGTGTGTGGACGGTTGTTGTTATTCCCCGGTTGCCCACACCGTGCCTGCGTTCTATCTCCCTCACGTGTGAAGTGGTATAGTAGGGTTAGGCGTCGAGTGCTAGGTAAGGAGGGGGAAATCAATCGACGAGGGTGTGAAGTTACATAGACTGATATGGTTAGGACATGTGTTACGCATGTATGTCTAGACACCGTCTTCCTCGACAACAGACAATGTTAGCTGACACAGGGTCAGGCTGGAAAAGAGCCAATGGTGGTGAAACCAAAACATGGGTTCATCACTCAATGAAATTTACAACAGTTGGTTTAAGCCACGTAGGCGGGGTGTAGACTTATTGACTGGATAGGGTCCTCGGGACGGTAAGAACCAATGAAGGTTGGATGGAGACAATCGGTGATATGGCTCAAAATCCTCGTTCTCAGTGGCGCAGAAGCATCCACTGCTTGTGACTTATAATACCCAATGAAACTATATTGTTCTTCGATATTACTATTCCTTTTGTCTCATATCCCTGTTTACTGTCTCTATTTTACATTTCTTCTCTTGCTTTGTGTGCTACAAGGAGGGAGTGTGGCGACTTGAACTGCTGCACATCGGTGCAAAGTTCTATGTTGAAAACAGACAGACAGACTAAAATATAGAATAAATCTATGTAGTTATGAGATAAGGATTAGGAGTAAAGTGTGATGCGGGTCTGATTTCACAACATGGCATTACTAGCACTTGAAAAAACAATGAATCACATTTTATAACTTCGCCTTAAGTTTTAATATACATTATACAATAGGTATTTTTATTTGTGTATAATGAGAAATATTCACTGTTTGAAGTGATTTACTGACTGAGTTTCAACGTAGACCTTTCTCCACAGAAGTCCAGCAGTTTAAGTTGCCATACTCCATGCAGTACAACACAAAGAGAAAAAAACAGATTCGTAAGTTCCATGCAATGCGCAGAAATGTACGCAAGAAAGACAAAGTGACAGGGAAAAATATGCCAATCTGATGGATCTAGGAGATTACAGAGAGTGAAGGCATCAGCGCCATTGAGAACGATTATAAGCCATAGCTCACCAGTAGTCTTCACCCACATTGGTTCTTAGAATCCTGAGCATCCCAACCCGGTAGTCTACGCCTGTATATATATATATATATATATATATATATATATATATATATGGCTAACTCACTACAACAGTCAAAGACTTCACGGAGTCATGTCAGAGATTAAAAGGAGTTTAAACAAGACAACAAGACAAGTCAAGTGATCCACAACGGAAAACTCAGCGAAGCGTTTGGAGTAAACACAGGAGTCAGACAACGGTGCTTATTATCACCAATGATATTCCTAATTGTGGTGGACTGGATTATGCGTCAGACAGTGGGAAACCAGAAGACAGGGATAGCCTGGACCGACATGAAGAACCTAGAAGACCTGGATTTCGCGCGTGGATGATTTATGTTGGATGTCACACAAAATCGAAGACTTACAAGCGAAAACCGACAAACTGGTTGAAGAAGCAGCCAGAGAAGACAGGATTCCAGGTGAACATAGACAAGACGGAGGTCATGAAAATAACCAACCAACAACAACAGCAACATCCAGCGCCAATCACCATCAACGGGAGGGATTTGAAAGAGGTTACTTCACTCACTTATCTAGGGAGCATTGTCTCAACTACAGGAGGAACGGACGATGTCAAATCGAGAATTGGAAAGGCGAGAAACACATTCATCAACCTGAAACCAATCTGGAAATCTTCGTCACTCAGCCTGCATCAACAACAAAATTCCGATTTTCAATACAAACGTCAAGTCACTTCTTCTATACGGGTCAGAAACTTGGCAGGTCAGAAAGAATATTTCCAACAGGTTGCAAACCTTTATCAACAACTGTCTTCGTTCTATGCTGAAGATCAGATGACCGGAAAGAATCACCAACAAGAAACTATGGGAACAAACAAAACAAGAATCAATCACCGAACAAATATGCAGGAGAAAGTGGAGATAGATTGAACACTCGCTGAGGAGGCCACTGGGTGACATCGCGCGTCAGGCCAATGCTCGAGTGGAACCCGAAAGGGAAGCGGCGAGTGGTTCGTCGGTGCAAGAGTGACATGGAGGAGATCGTGTGATGAGGAACTAAAACAGTATGGATTAACATGGATGCAAGTGAAAAGTAAAGCACAAGACAGAAGCAAGTGGAGGAGTGCAGTTGAAGCCCTATGTTCCACTAGGAACGCAAGGGAACAATAATAATAATAATAAACAAGACAAGACAGCAAAAATAATAATAATAACCCAATTCTTACTTGATCTTCATTTGTATAATGCACACAACGTATACAGAATGGTGGTTCCAGATTTGCAAAACCTAACAGAGGTGGTCTCGAACAACTAGTTACAAACTAAAATAATTTTTAAAAATAATAGAAAAACAAGATCAATGATCATTGTGTGATATGTTAAGCAGGTGAAGTTGTACAAGTAATCCAACACTTTGTTTATTATTATAAAGCATTCAATAAAAGAAAAAAAACCTTTTCAGAAATTTAAGAGTTGAATTTGGGCATTGTGGTAGAGTACAATTCCATTATAGAATAAATGTATTTGATAAAAACTACACACTGATACAGCACTGTGTATTTATTGATTGCCTTTCGAGCACAATTTATTGCTGCTCATAATCATATAATAGCACTCACATACCTTTCAAACTATATTTCTGCAGTCCAATCATTTCTCACCCCTTGATTTTATTGATAGTAATATTTTCCATAACTACGGTAATGGTGTTGCGTCATTCCTGTTTGCATGTGTTAGGTGTAGATTCGATGAGCAAAGATGCAGTGAACAGATATCTCTATCTCCCTCTAGCTAACTCTATATTACTTCTGTCTCACCCTGTTGTATGAATGTGTGTGGGTGGAACTGGTCACTTTCCCTCTAAAATATATTTGCTATAACACACAGTGATACAGTAAGAAAAACTGGATAATAATAATTCGAGCTCTCTCAACAAATATGTAGGCGAAAATGGAGATGGATCGAGCATATGCTGCCTAAGGAGGCCGTCGAATGACATCACGCACAATGCAGGCCATCCATCACTCGAGTGGAGTCCCAGTGTGAAGTGACTAGTGAGTCGTCGTTTCGAGGGTGACACGGAGGAGATCATGTGGCGAGGAACAGATGAGAGATTATAGGCAATCGTGAAGAGACCCAGCTGAAGAGGACGGCAGAAAATAGAACAAAGTGGAGATTTGTTGTTGAAGCCTTATGTCCCACTAGGAACCCAAGGGAATAATAATAATAATATTTTGAGCACAATTTATTCTTCATAATCATATCAATATATATATTCATCACACAACTTCTAGACTTCATTATGGATAAGATTGTATTTTGATAAATCACACAATGTTATACAGCAATATTAACTGATGACATTTCGAGCACGAACTATTGCTCATAATCATATCATATCGTGTCATCTCAACTGCACGTGTTTGATCTTAATTAGATGAACAAACACCCAGTGATTAACCTCTCTCTACTCTCACTGTCCCACCTTATTTTGTCATTAAATGCAAGTCAATGAAATGCAGTGACCGACATCTGTTTTTTCTACGTTATTTAACTTAGCAAGGTCAATCGTTCTAGTTCTAGTTAAATTCCTATGTCCCGATAATCGAGTTGATCCCGATCTATTAGTTTGATCTATGTAATTGACCCCATAATCATTACATATTACATTATATTTCTCAATTGGATCTATGAAATGTTTAAGCCGATGAAGTTTGTTGCTGAGTGAGTTAATTAGTTTAAATCCCACTATGAATAAATCCAGCTTCATTTAGAATCCTGCATAGGGTTTCTGATGTTCCCTCTTTACATGACACTGCTATTAAACCCTTGACTTCCTTATTATTCATATCCCCGACCGAAAGCTGCTACCTTGACGTGGTGGTCGGGCTTGAACACTGCAATGACTCAACAAGCTATACTGGCTGGAACTTATGCTCCTGCAGGTCCTACCATGCCAGAAAGATTGTTTGGATAGCAGTTAGACTAAAAGCAGTTACCCAATCCAATCCTATGATTTCAAATAAATCACAAAATATCATGCCGGATCGGTCGGGGCCCGGATTAACAACGACCGCGCTTCCTGCTGCCGTGTCACAGGGCAGAAGTGATAAATACGCTACTGAGACACACCAAATAAAAAAGAACAAACAAAAACAGGCCGCGTGTGACCGGCCTCAAGCAGTTGTCCCTTGGGCTCTGCGGTCACGCAACCAACTTACACGGTGTGGGCAGCCGGGAAGTAACAATCGCCCTCACAATTCGAAGTGCACGCGAAACCTCTCTAATCCTCGCTCATCTTTGTCTTCATCTTCATCTCTATTATCTTGCCTTCCTTCTACCAATGCAACTCCTCTACTTGATGGCTCTTCACTCTGTGTGCACTGATAACGATGGAAGCCAAAAAGTCTCTTAAAACCACGCCACCAATTTTATATAGGAGCATTTAATGTTAGGACACTGCCAAATAGGACAACAAGCATCAATAGCCAAGACTCTGACATCCCGAGCAATTGATGTATGTTGTGTTTCAGAAACACTCATACAAGACCCAAGTGTGGTTATTCACCTAACCCACCTAGCCAACAGGATGAATCTGCAAAATTCACCTTGAGGGTGTCAGGAGATGCGACGGCTAGCTCACGAGGATTAGCTGGTGTTGGGATACCTTTAAGTACTAGAGCAGAAAAGACATTACTTTACTGGATCCCGGTAGATAGCCGAATGTGCGCTGTCCGTCTGAACGGATCAGTAAAAAGGAGAAAGGACTGCACTAACCACCGATGCCTTTTCGTAATCTCCGCCTACGCCCCCACTGACTGTAGTTCGGATGAAACGAAGGATGAGTTCAACCAAAAGCTGTCTAGTTTGCTGCGAAAGGCTAAACATTCAGATATAGACGTTTTAGCTGGTCACTTTAATGCTCAAGTAGGGAAATTGTGTCAATCTGAGAAGGATGTCGGTGGCACATGCGGAATTCCGTGCCAGCGAACCGACAACGGTGACCGTCTCCTACAGTTCTGTTCAGATAATCATTTGTTTCTTGTAAGCACTAACTTCAAACACAAGGAGAGACACTGTTTGACCTGGCGACCCCCATCCTCAAACCAACGCTGGACACAAATAGACCACGTAGCAATAAGCTATCGTTGGCGTGGGTCGGTAGGAGATTGTCGCTCCTTCTGGAACACGTGTGTAGATACCGATCACGCACTGGTCCGTGCTCGTGTGTGCCTACGACTGAACGGACGTAGGAAACAGCTAGCGGTAAACCCATCACGTCCCCAGCTCGATCAGGAAACTAAGTCCCTATTTGAGGAAGAACTAGCTAAACACATATCTGAGTTCGACAGCTGCGCTCACCCTGAAGAAGCCTGGAAGAATATTCAGTCAGTCATAGATGCAGCTGTAAAAGCTATGAATAAGGTAAATCCAAAGGTGATTAAAAACCATTGGATTTCGACTGCCTCATCCGAACTGATGGATGCTAGAAGACTTATTCCGGCGAGCTCCGAATTCAATGAGGAGCGAAAGCTGCACAAAAAGAAACTTACGAAAAGTCTCCGCAAGGACCGTGAACAGTGGTGGTTGACAAAGGCGAAAGAGATGGAAAAAGCATCGGCGATAGGCAACACCAGACAACTATTCAGGCTCATCAGGGAAACAGGTGGTAAAAGGCAAATGATAAGCGAAACAATCTCTGAGAAAAATGGCACCATAATTAGCTCCCAGGATAGACGTCTGGAGCGCTGGAAAGAACACTATGAGGAGCAGTTTAATTGGCTCACAGCCACACTTAACCTGCCGGATATCCAACACCTCCCTGAATGGGATACAGACACAGGTCCTCCGTCCTTAACTGAGGTTACTAAAGCTGTCACTAATCTGAAGCAAGGCAAAGCAGCGGGACCTGATTTATTGACTCCAGAGGTATTTAAGTATGGTGGAGACAGTTTACTGTCTGCGTTAACGGAGGTTCTAGGCAGCGTCTGGGAATCAGAAGAAGTCCCATCGGCAGTCCCATCGCGTCCTCACCTCATCTAGGAGGACTCTAACATTGGCATATTCTAAGTCAACGAGATTATTCCCCGGTCACAAGTCAATCCCTGAGTCGCTGAAGTCAGTCAGTTAGGGTTGATCCTATTAGTATATTTACGATGAAATTGAATAGAAATGAGGACAGTGAACAACGCTGACGGACACCACTAGTTGTCACCAGTTCAAATGACAACTCACTTGGCTGACTGCACGAGTTCGAGTAGAGTACCTTGGTCAGTGCAATGTATTTTCTCAGCATTCTCTTTACAGCCAAACATCGCCAGAGTACCTCTCGGCCGACGGAATCGAATGCCGTCTTTAGGTCAAGAAATATGACGATGGCGAAAACCAACAAGCTGACAGAAGACGCAGTGAACGTGCGGCTTCAAGGAACTCTGTCAACAAACCAACCAAGTATCTAACACCCAACAAATATACACAAGGAAATGGAGATGGATTGGATACATGCTGGGGAGACCGTTGAGTAACATCACGCACAAAGCAGGCCCCTTGAATGGATTCCAAATGGGAAACGACGTGTTAGACGTATGTCCAAGAGTGACATGAAGGAGATCGTGGAGCCAGCTAAAAGGGACGACAGAGAACAGGGTGAAATGGAGACGTGCTATTGAAGTTCTATTTGGAAACCAAGGGAAAAATAATAAAATAATCTTGTAGAGTGTAAACATTCGATATCAATGGGCAACTCTCTCTCACTTAATTCTACACATCTACACATAAAGTGTTCTCATGATATTGTTTCTTTTTCTATTAACCCTACATTTCACAAAAGTATAAATAGATATGGCATAAAGACGAAGATAATATGTCAATGAAGTAGCAATACTACCAATAATAATAATAATAATAATAATAATAATAATAATAATAATAAATTTACCTTTAAAAATAAACTACGTTCACGATCATCGAAATCACGTCTTAAAATATCCCATAACCAACGAATAACACGATGATTACTGTGAAATCCACCGGAATAACGTGTATGCTGCCTAAAAGGAATAATAATAATAATAATGGTAGCTTCATTTCGGACAATTTTCTCCATTTATTATTGTTTTATTATTATAAATACGATTATTTCAATAAAGAATATATACAATGAATAATAACAATATATTCGACAAAAACAAAGACAGTGATATATACACCGGCTTACTTTAAATCATCAATGTCCATAGAACCACAATCACCTGATATAAGAGTTTGTAATTCTGGTGGAGAAAACATTGCCAACCAATCAGGATTTAATATTGAATAAAATCCACGTATAAATGAGGCTGTTTGACTGCGAATTTGTTTATACATACGAAAATGTGCTACACTATGCACATAACTTATTCTAAAGATTTGAAAAGAAAAAGAAAGGAGAGAAAAATTGCAAAGAAAGATTATAATTAAAACTGTCACTTTATTTCACTGATTATTTTTATTTTTTAAATTTTATTAAAACTTGATTCCACACAGTATTTTGGTACAAGTGTGGAATTTTCAGCATGTGTGATATCCGTAGACCAAATTTAGCAGGCCGAGTATTGATATCATGTGTGCGTCGGCCGAGGATCGAACCCTGGACCATGTGCATGGTGGGCGAGCATCCTTACCGCTGTGCCACCGACGTACAGTGAAGGCAAAGTTAACATATAAGGTTCCAAGCTAACAAAATCACCTATAACTTGGAAGCAACCAGTTAGAGCTTGTATATTTTCTTTTGCTTTTATTCCTGTACGTTCCCAGTGGAACATAGGGCTTCAAGCTAAAGGCTCTAAGTTTCGGCAGCAGTGGTGTTTACTTTTACGGGATGGAGTTGCTAGCCTCATGTCCAACCTTCCCCCTTTACCAGTCTTATAACTGGCTTGGCGAGGTAAAGGAGTGAGTCAGTCGGGGATAGAACCCCGGACCATATGCGTGGTCGGCGAGCATTATACCGCTGTGCCACCAACGCACAGAGTTTGTATAGGCGACATAAAATGATTATAACGATGAAACCGACTTGAGTATATAAAGAATAAATGCTGTTTAGAATTCATCAAAATAGAATTTATCCAAACACAGTTTTCTCAGTTCCACATAGATAATAGTTTCGTTAAAAAGAAACAATTATGTCACTGGGAAGCAATATCAACATGTAACGTCGACTTCAAACCATAAGTGAATCATATAAGTATAAAACGTGGGCACTGTGATAGAGTATAACTCCATTATGGATAAGATTTTATTTTGATAAATCACACAGTGTTGTACATTAAGTAATATTAACTGGTGACATTTCGAGCACAAACTATGGCTCATAATCATATCAAGTCGATATGATTAGGAGTAATAATTTGTGCTCAAAACGTTATCATTTAATATTACAAGCAAATCATGTTTGAATGTTGCGAGTTTGTATGACACAACCACTGAGGAAAGCATTTACGGAAGGAATATCAAATCGTAACTCCCCCACCTTAGGGTCTGTGATACAGCTACTGGTGAAACCAGATAGGAATGTCTATATTGTAAAGGACTGGTTACAAAAGCTTATCTTATCTGGGTTTTTTCCGTCTCAAAACGAACCATTCTGAAGAATTCTTCGATGTCAAAGCAAATAATCATACTGACTGCATGGAGGTTTCGCTCTAGGCATCGTAAGGAACAGAACACCAGCTAGTAACAAATACCGAAAGGAAATGGCGTATAGCCATTAAGGTGGATAGAATGTGGTTTGACTTCTGCTCTGATCCTCCAATGGGATAATAGGAGTCCCTCATACCATATGTTAAAGAAAATTACTGTTTTTAATACCTTTTTACACTTTTCTAAACATTTTTAGGCATAAATATACCCATCCCCCATCTAAATCCATCCATTCAAAGTGATTGCGATAGCATGAAGTTCATCGGTCCTTCTGTTAGCCTGGGATCAATATACTCTTACTCTATCCACTTTGAATGGCTAATCTTACAGAGGAAGATACTGAAGTGATAACGTTGCCCCTTTTGTCTTACATCATAAGATTGCCTCTAATTTAGGCAGAGGTTCCAAGTATGTTCAGTATGGCATCTTTAATTATACATCTACCTTTGACTCTGTACCTAGGCCTTTTTTTGTTAAACAAGCTTGTTGTGAAATATGCAGAGTTCTGAATTAATAAACGGTTACATTCTTACTTTCCTGACAGAAACCAGTACACTGTGTATAGTGAGAAGTCCTCTATTACTTAACTTACTCTAGCTGGTGTTCCTAAAAGTGCCGTTCCTTCTCCTTTTCAGTTTCCATCCTTCTTTCATGACTTGCCCCATCCTGACGAAACCAATCTTGTTAAGTAGTATGTCGACAGTCTGACTGTTTCTATACTGGCGGTTACTTCTAAATCAGACTGTTCCAAAATGAATAGCTTTTTATTAGAAATTAGCTAATGGTCCTTGTCAGATAGTCTTAAGCTAAATCCCTCCAAATGACGAGTGGTTAATTTCACTTTGAGACGCAAGTGCGACTTACATGGACTGGTTCGTTCTCCTATGATTCTACTACCATATATGGCACTGAAGTTGAAACTAAGTAGAGTGTTAAATACCTTGGACTGCGTATTCCTTCTGATTTTCCCTTGTCTTCCCACATCACGTGCGTCGGTGGTTCAGCGGTAGAGTGCTGACCTATCATGCACGTGATCAGGGGTTCCAGCCCCGGCCGGCACATACCTTTACCTCACTTAGCCGGTTACAATCCCGACAAAGAGGGGAGGTTGGGCGTGAGGCCAACAACCCCACCCCGTAAAGGTAAACACCACTGCTACTGAAACTTCAAAGTTAAAGCTTGAAGCCCTATTTTCCATTGGGAACGTAAAGGAATAAAAGAACAAGGTATTCTTCGTCACTGCTGCCCCCATTCAACTTGTGAGTCGGTGGCACAGTGGTTAGGACTCTCGCCGACCATGCACATGGTCCAGGGTTCGATCCTCTGCCAACGCACACCTGATATCAATGATCAGCCTGCAAAATTTGGGCTACCGATATCACATGCTGAAAATTCCATACTTGTACCAAAAATACTATATGGAATCAAGTTGTAATTTAAAAAAGCTTAATCTTTCCAGGTCTACTTACGAAAGACTTTTTCACATTGCGAACGGCACGAAAAGCTGTCAGTAGTACGAATAGGGGTGTCGATAAAACACCTTTTTAATGATGTTGCAGATAAACACATGGACTCATGTGCAAGGAATTAGTGAATTTTATCTTACTGGACTCTGAGCACCACCTCCTATACACAATTCACTCCTTGCTGCATCTCATTAGGTAGAACTAGAAGAAACTATAGGAGACTTTACGCTCGGACAACAAAACCTACAATACCTTGTTTAGCACACTTTTTGTGATGAGGAAAGTGTAAGGCAGGAATAGTATCAGTCAAAATGGCCTGTTTTTATTATTATGCCCGTCATGAAAAAATTAGATGCAATATTGTACTCCATGCTGAAAATTCCATATTTGTACCAAAAGTACCGTTTGGAATAAAGCTATTATTATTATTATTATTATTACTAAAGGGTGGTCAGGTCTTTAGTGCGTTAAATCATGCAAAAAGGGCGTAGGAGTTTTACAGTCTACGTTATATGTAGACCAGGAATCTTTCAGTAACTTTTACAGTTCACATAGGAATTCGGAAGATCTAAAATGGAGTAAATACTTTTTCTCAAGATACAGTTCACAGTTTGAAATTATTCTGTTTCAAAATACATTCTGTGAGTCTGTAATTCAGTGATAGAACGCTCACGTGATCCGGGTGTTCGTTTCCTAACCAACACACACGAACACACTTTCACTTCTCTTAGCCTGTAAAACACCCCCCGTTGAAGAGAGAAGGCTGGTAGGTAGGCTAGCAACCCCATCCTGTAAAAAAAACCCATAATTGCTGAAACTTCAAAGATCCAGCCCCGCCCCCCGGTTAAACTAGGAAAGTGAATGTAACATTATATCAGGGAGGTTAGAATATTGTTATTTGGGCAGCAACACCATCACATATCACATTATTCTGCATAACTGAAAAATGAAACTTTTTTGAAATTCGTGGGAAGCAGTATAATTCTGTGAAAAATAAACAAATTGCTGTATCAGTAAAACAGACAACTAGGAACGTTACGTTCTAGACATTTGAATTAGTCACAAAAGGTATAGATTTTCCAAAATGTATGTTATGAAAACATGTAAAACTTTGAAAACGAAAACACGACAACACAAAAGACAGTAAACATTAAGACAATGATAAGCATCCTGTAGATAGACAGACAGACAGACAGCCACACAGACAGAGACAAATAATAAATGAAAGATGAAACAATATGACAAACGTACTTGACATCGTTTGTTACAGATATCTGACGACCACCAGGACATAGGTCATGTATAATCACTTGACCTAAACAATCTTCTGCATATGAATAGGTAAATTCTAAATCGGATACATCTCCATCATAATGCTGAAAGAGAAAAACATTTTAAAAAAAAGGATAGTAGGCGAAATATATATGAAAAACAGTTTATTATTTTCCAGCAATAAAGGAAAATACAGTTTTCTTTAATTAATGAATAAATGGGTACATTTGGTGATTTGAGGAACTCCAAAAGACCAGCTGAGAATGATGAAGGGAACTTAGTGAGTTTTTATGTCAATCAGTTAAGCTTTCAGAGGCGAATGTGAAAGTAAATGATCTTATTTTGCGATGGTGGTCTTCAGGGATTTGAGCGATTTCAATATTGAACACGTAGTGAGTTTAGTGAGAGGACAACTAAATACCAGGGAGTGCTGGACAACTGTTTCGTCCTTGTTTGAGAATTGAGCTCTCAAGTAAGTGACTACAGGATGAAATTTCTGGAAGTTCCAGTGAGAAGTCGTGACCAACGAGAAATGGCAGAAGATTGAATTCACAGGGCCAATCATTGGATTCCATCCTGACGGTTGAACGAATGACCTACGAAGTTACCATTAACCTGAAGGTCCCCGTGTTCGATCCTTGGTGGGACCATGGGTGCGTCCAGTGGAAGAGTCCACGGATGAACACAGCTATCCAGTCCCCCCTAGTTTTCAATATTTCTCTAATTGAAGTCAGTTTATGATCAGTCTTAAGATCTCAGTTTGGTGTGCACGCCTTAGTATAATAATAAAAAAATTGACAGCAAGCTATTGATGCTTCAATACACAACTTAACGAGTACTTGGGATTTCGCTATGTTTTGTTACTTTTATTTAACGGGGGCTTTATTTATGAAATCAACTGTGAACACGTGGAACAGGCATAAATCAACACCTGTTCTTCCAGATATGCGTTGTTATAATTGATGATGTGATTATGAACAATGATAGACTGGTGTTCGAAACTTTGTCCTACAATAAGTAATAATACTGTTTTACTGTGTGTGACATATCCGATAGAGAAACTACCATAGAATCTGGAAATGTGAACTCAGACAGTAGACTATTAGTCGGATATTATTTCATTTCGGTTGTCAATGTGTCGTTTAAACATAAATCATCAATGAGTCATTTTGAAGGCAAGAATATACACAGATACAGAAGGCTCGTTTGGCATACGCCATCTCTAGCAGATACGCGTTACCCGGATGCCTATCGATCAAAAGAAGTGTGTACTGCTCAGCAATTCACTCTCACCTCTTCCCGTATGGCTGGCTGTGAGACATGGTGCTTGGAAGTGGAAGACATGGAAAAGCTGATTAGCTGTCTTTGATCATAGGTGTCTGCGTTCTATCTTCCGTGTAATAAGGTGAGCATTAGTGAGGTAGAGGCGTCGGTGGAGTGATAGGTAGGGAGGGGAAGTCAATCAACGAGGTTGTGAAGTAGTTGCATCGATTGAGATGGTTAGGACATGTGTTACATAAGCCTGCCTAGCCATTGCCTACCTCAACAACACCCAATGTTGGCTGACTGACATAGGATCGATCAAGTTGGAAAAGAGAAAGATAGTGGTGGTCAAACCAAAACATGGCTTCCTCACTCAATCAAATCCATAACAGTTAGTTTCAACCAGCCAGTCAGTCACTTATGGAAGTGTAGATTGCTTGATTGACTGGGGTCTTCGGGATGGTAAGAACCAATGAAGGCTGGATGGAGACAATTGGTGATATGGTTCAGTGTCCTAGTTCTCAGTGATGGTGCAGATGCGTTCACTCTTTGTGATTTATCGTGTCCAATAAAACTCCATTGTTCTTCCATATTACTATCCACTTTTCATCGCTTACACTTTTGATTATTGTCTCTCTCTCTCTTGAATCTCCCTTTAGTATCTTCTCTTGCTTTGTGTGCTACATGGAGGGAGAGTAGCAACTGAAACTGATGCACATTTGTGCAAAGTTCTATGTTGAAACATCATGATTCTTATCAAGCAATGTTGACGTTAGGCGTAGAATGTTGAGCAAAGAGGGTATTAAGTTACATAGATTGAGATGGCTAGGTCACGTGCTGCGCATGCCTAACCATCGCCTCCCCCGACGGACGGGCATTACTAGCTGATATAGGTGCAGGTTGGAAAAGAGTAAGTGGTGGCCAAACAAAAACATGGCATCTATCCATGAAATCCTTGACAGTTAAATTGAGTCAGGTAGGGAGATGCAGACTCCTTCCGGGTTCGGGCCCTCGGGACTCTAAGAATCAATGACTGGAGACAATAGGTGACATGGATCAAAACCGTTGTCAATGGCGCAGATATATTCAGTCTCTGTAATCTTTCATATTCCTTTTTACCATTACTCATTCTGTTTCACTCTTATACTTGTCAAAACCCTATTGATTCTCTTCACTCATTTTCTTATCTACCTTTGTGTGCTATTTGGAACGCGGCAACTCGAACTGTTGCACTTTGGTGTCAAGTTCTATGCTGAATCCAGACAGACAAACAGATTCCTATCAATTATTCTTAATGTACACATGTTGACACACCTGTGAAAAAGGTTTGTTTCTTTTCAAAATTCGTATTAAAAAAATTATTGAATTTTGTACAAGTTTGATTATTATATGTTAACTTTACCTTGATATAACTAAGACTTTTGTATAACTCTCTATCCAATGTGGCTAATTCATCAAGAAAACTGTAGCAACCAGCTTTTTCACGACCGAGTAATTGAGTAAGAAAGAAATTCGCAAATGGTACATCAACAACAATACTCTGGAAGAAAGAGAAAAAAAGGAGTAGATAAATTATAACTATCAGTTCAGTTAGTTAGTTAGTTAGTAGTTCGAGCTTAGTCAGTCGCTCCACAAAACACGAATTCTTCCTGAATTGGACTATGAACCATATATATATATATATACATACATAACGTGACGGCTGAAAATACTACCTAGTTGTTCAGGTTGAAGTAGGTGGGGAAGCAGGGTTAGAATCCCAAAAGCTCCATTAACTGAAAGTTGAGTACGTGAAGGAAAAAAGTTACATTTACAAAAATCATAAGAAATAATTTGTACCTCGGTGGCACAAAGAGGTAGAATGCTCGCCAACCACGCCACACGTAGTTCAGAATTCGATCCCCGGCCGACGTACTTCTTTACCTGGCTAACACCAGTAATAAGACTGGTAAAGAGGGAAGGTTGGGCATGAGCCTAGCAACCCCATCCCGTAAAAATAAATACCAATACTACCACTGGGAACTCAGTATAAATGAAAAATGTACGTAAACGTGAGCTGGTGCAATGACAGAATGCTCGCCGACTACACAGCAAGTAGCAGGGGTTCGATTCCTGGCTGTCGGAAGGCCACATAGGAAGGTGTAGATAGCCTTCCTGGTTGGGGTTCTCGGGATGGTAAAAACCAATGCCTGGAGGCAATCGGTGATATGCCTCAAAATCGTTCTCAATAGCACTTCTGATTATTATCTCTCTTTTGAATCTCTCTCTACTCTCTTCTCTCGCTTTGTGTGCAACATGGAGAGAGAGTGGCAACTGGAACTGCTGTATATCTGTGCAAAGTTCTCTGTTGAAACCAGTCAGTCAATCCCGGCCGCCGGAAGTAATCCTAAATTCCGCTTAGCTGGGATTAACCACGGTTAAGAAGGAAGGTTGGATGTGAGGCTGGCAACCCCATCCTACAGAAACAACAACACCATAACTACTACGATTCTTTTGAAATAGTTTTTGGAATCACATGCGCATTAAGATCTTGCAACCGGCTAAAGGATGTACAGTTTGCGGGGTCAACCTTTACTAACCCCGCTTTCAAGAGCCGAGAGGTAGTATAACTGGCAGCTGGTGATAGCCTTACTGCTCTTGCGTCCCTATTCGCTAGCGATAAGACTTCGCTTACACACCCTTCCCTCCCCCCCCCAAAAAAAAAATATAGTGTGAATATCTTACACTATGAAACGGTAACTGCTTTTAGTTTAATGGCTATCCAAACCACCTTTCTGCTGTGGTAAGACCTGCAGGAAGATTAGTTAAAGCCAGTTTGACACGTTGCATTATTGAGATATGCTATCCCAACCACAACATCAAGGTAGCAGGTATCTGTCGGGCTTATTTTCTGCTATGTCAATCCCTATATATTGCTTATGTTAATAATTTTCCAATGTTCACTCTACGTTCTGACACATGGCTGTTTGGTTATACGCTCTTAAGAGTGGATTTTTACACTAATTTACTCGCCTACAATACGAAAACAGTATATATTAAACCCTACCATTTACTGATGAATACTTAAATAAAGCTGTGAAATTAATAATCCGCGTTTTTCAACCTCTTCAGTCAGTTCTTCTAGTTACGGTGGTTGGCGATTTGTGGTCGTCCGTGAATGTAGTGCGACCATTTACACAGACATTCAGTGGCAATCAGTACCTCCTGGCGATGACGGACGGAACATGCTAAAAGATAGGTAAACTCCATCACGATCCCGGATCAATGCGTAAAGACTGTGACTCACGCAGTGGTTAGAGGTATCGTTGTACTGAAGACGATATTAACAAATCAGGGGCTCTATTCCTAACGTGAAGAAATTATATCCCACTTACAGCAGATAGATGTATTAAGCAGACTAGAGTAACCACCATATCATCCACAAGCTAATGGTTTGAGAGACATATACTGAATGAGTGGTTGGCTTCGAAGGGAGGTATCTGGGAGACAGCTTCTATTAATTCTACTAGTACATACATAGTGCTTCTGCCGAAGAAATAACAAAGAAGTCACCGTTTCAGGTGATTTACGATGGGGAAACCATGACCACCAATTCACAATAAGACCTGGTAGCATCACCGACAGTGGAGTATGAAAAAATGACAAACAGGACGGGAAGAATCAATCATAAATGTAAAGCATAAACAGAAGATTGAGGCTGTGGAACTCGGAGAGGAAAGGAAAAAAAGCAGGACGTTTGAAGTTGGAGATCATGTAAAATGTACAGCAAGAAAGTGCGCTGTTGGAAACCGGCCAGGTCCTCAGGCAATCTCTCCAAAGTGGGAAGGACCATAAACTGTCACCGAGAGATATGGTTTTCTTTATACCACGAGCGGAGGAGACAAACGGAAATGCGTTAACGCTAGCCAACTCCAGAGATGGATACAGTGGGATAAAAAAAGTCACTACTGAGACAAAACAAGAGCGGGTAGCACCAAGAGGGTCGAGGCGGCAGTGGAAATGTAAGGTTTGTTGTATTTTGCCATAGCAGTTTATCAATTTACCAATAATTAATTCAGTTACCAAATGCTACCCCATTCTGCTGGTATACATACATACATGTTATTCAAAAAAGAAGCACTTACTTCATAGATAGCTTTAGCAAGCATTTTGCCCAAAAATTCAAATAGCTGTAAATGACTCTCTTGTAGATGTGATGTAGGCGATGGATATAAACGTTGATCATTTGTTACACGAAATAAATTTAAACTTGGATCAAATACACGACGAAGTGTTTCTTCTAAGAATTCTTTAAATACACCATCCAAATCAATGCCAACTTCATCTAAACCCTGTAAAACAAAAAGGATAATACATGGAATTAAACTAAAATAGGAGAGCGGAGGGGAGGGGCAGTTTCATGTCAAAACATGAGTCGATCGACAGATCTTTCATGCAACAAGCTAAGATTGAGTGAGGGCTGATGGTGATGCTTCCCAGTTGTTCAAGCAGAAGTAAGTGAGGAATCAGGACTCGAACCTGGGACCGGCTAGTTGAAAGTCGATTGGCTTACACCAGTGAGTTACATCTCCCATTGTTCTCGGAGATTTAATTTAATCTTATCCAATGCCAAAACGAAATTTAGGTTTAATATAACCTTCACTAAGATTGGTTGAGATTCACAAATCGATTATGGTATAACTGACACCAAATAACTAACTATTTACGTTTACTTTATCATTATAATTATTCGTTCCTTGGTTTCCAAATGGAAATTGGGTCTTCTGGTGCACATCCCCATCGTACTCAGCTTTCCAACAATCCCTTTTGGCTGGCTTGAAGAGTATCCACAAACTTTCAACTCTTTTTTCACGTAATCTCCTCCACTGAACTTCCACTCGAAAGCCCAATATGTGGTGTCACTCGACCGTCTCCCCAATGTACGTTTAATATACCTCCATTTTCTTCTACATAATTGTTAGGTAATAGTTTTTGGCTGATTCGATGGCTACCAGGGTTCATTGTTGCTCATCCTTTCTAGCCAGCCATCTGATCTTCAATTTCGAAGTAGCGGAGGCATGTATTAATGAAAGTCTGCGGTAGGCTGTTAGAAATGCTGAACAATACACAAGCACCTTTCATGACATTAAAGTTCAAAATTCTGATCTTCTTCCTTGTACCAAGTGATGTAGTGATCTCCTGTTTGGCTTTGACATCTTAAATCGTGCCGATTTCCCGTAGTTGAGAGGACGCTTACCACATGAGTGGGTATCTCCCACTGCCTTTGACTTCTCTATGCTCATTTAAAGTTCTGTCCTACCTGCTTGTCATTCCTCGACTTTGTGCGACATAATACATAAATTACCCTTAAAATCCAGATCTCCTATGCCCATCTCCCCACCCCCCTCCCGATAGCCTGTTACTTGATCCAGTCCATCACAATCAAGACGACCAATGATGGACAGCCTTGAATAACATTATTCTTATTATACTATATAAATGTCTTATACCATAAATAATATGAACATGTTATGCAATAGACACTGTCCAACCATATGAATACAGATGATACACACACACGTACACTGCATTTGCTTCATGTCACAAAATATGAATGCCTTTCAGACACCGGCTTCTAATTACTACTTCTGCAATACTCTGTGCAACAGTTTCATGCAGTTTAAATGCATTTTTTTCATAAATATACGTTTTTCATAACTAAAAAATGCCTCTTTCATGTGATTCGTTCGTTGAAGGTAATTCGCTGATTGGTTGTTAGTGGTGCTTAAAGGTTAACTTTGCCAAATACATTTATTGTATGATGAAATAATTCAGCGTTGTACATTTCCATGTCTTTAGGGATATACATCGACCACCCAGTGTAGTTAAGCCTAGCATAGACGCTTGTGTTTTTAAAATAAATGGGTTCACAAACAGTAAGATTTGTTTTTTTTCCTTCATGTTCCCCCGGTGGAACATAGGACTTCAAGCTAGTGGCTTGAAGTTTTTGTAGCGGTGTTTATTTTACAGGATGGGGTTGCTAGCGTCATGCTCAACCTTTCCTCTTCACCAGCATTATTTTTGGCTTAGCGAGGTAAAGGAGCATGTAATATGAAAACAGCATCAAAACAATAGGCATGTAAAAAAATACCCAATCTACTGTAATGACTAAGACCCACTAGACTATGAGCGAATACTGACATAATGCGCTGGCTAGTCTGTCCTAATCGCACGTCAACAACAACAATAACACCACCTGCGCTCAACGACAAAAGAAAAAACTGAACGTTGAGAAGATAGGTCAAGTTAAAGGGACATATTGAAAGTAAAAATAGCGAAGAAGATAACTAAACCAAATAACAAAAGTAATAGTATGTCTGTTATGGTATCGAAATAAATTTTACTAACTTGATCATCGTCCGTCTGTTTGGGGGCATTTTTAGTTGTCAAGTTGGTGAATTGGTAAAGATAACAAAACCATCATGTCCGTTTCCCCTAGTTAAGAGAAGGGAAAACGGACATTTTAGTATATCCATATTCAGGAAGAAAACCCACTCAAATAAATATTTAGACTTCAAGTCATCACACCCCATCAGCGCAAAGATTTCAGTTGTTTCAAGCCTTCTTAGACGAGCACACTCTCTGATAACCGACGAGAAAGAAAAAGAAGAAGAAATATCAAACATTACTGAAACTCCCAAGCAAAACAACTACCCATGGAACTTTATCAACAAAATCAACACATACATTAAGTATGGCCGAAAACGCATTCCAAAAACATGGACATCAACAGTCGTCATTCCATATAGAGAAGAGACGTCAGACGATATCAGAAGAGTACTCAATCAGCTCGATATTAGAGTTTTCTTCAAAACATCAGACACACTTCAAAGCAACCTTGTCCATATAAAAGACCAAATCCCTAAAGATTCACTATCTAATTGTGTCTATAAAATAAAATGCTTGGAATGTGATGCGATATACATTGGACAAACATCTCGAGAAATCAAGATCAGAAGAAATGAACACCGTAGAGCATCTCTTCGACCACCGAGAAATCCTGTTGAACTACAAAGACTTGAAAAATCATCAGCCATAGGTCTACATGCTATAAAATCAGGCCACAAAATTGATTTTGACAATGTTGAAATAATCCAGAAAAACTTCAGAAATCACAAAGAACGTCTAATATCAGAAGCACTTCATATCAAGTGGAATCAAAATTGCCTGAATAGGAATGATGGACTAAAACAGAATCTGACCTGGTTACAACACCTTTCTCCCCCCCCCATCAAGTGACAAAACCAACACGAATGTGATAAGCACTTTCATTATGTAAACACACGCTGCTTTTATAATCTTATACACTTATCAAATCTAACAATCTACACATGATGGTTTTGTTATCTTTACCAATTCACCAACTTGACAACTAAAAATGCCCCCAAACAGACGGACGATGATCAAGTTAGTAAAATTTATTTCGATACCATAACAGACATACTATTACTTTTGTTATTTGGTTCAGTTATCTTCTTCGCTATTTTTACTTTCAATATGTCCCTTTAACTTGACCTATGTCTATTTTCTCACCCCCTAACTGTTTGTTATATATATGCTGAGATTTTGTAAATTCCGGTTTAATAATACTTTGATAAAGCTATTAGCATTAAATAGCGAAACGTCAGTAAAAACAATATCGTTTTGTTTTTCATTCATTGGGAAATACAAAAACCTTTATTATAATGCATATACATGTATATATTCTTAAGATGACGTTGAGAGGCGCTGAAGCCATTGATAAATGAAACAGTGAACAAGCAATGGGATTTCAAAGGTCATAAGTAGTGTACGAGAAAATTAGGTCACAAATCAATAAGTGGTGTGAGAGCAATACAAACACACATGTAGAAATTAGGTCTATATATACCATCTACAATACCCATCATTGCCTAGATGTATATAATGTTGTCAGAGTAAAAACTAGAATTACTTCACAATATGCTAATTAGAACAAACTTTACAACAACAAAAAAAAAACTGAACATCACTCAATCGCCATCAAATAATGAAAACAAAGTACATAACACGAGGAAAATTCCAAGAGAGCAAGAAGTCATTTTTCCTGATTAGAATATGTACTAAATTTTGAAATACGTCTAGTGTGCAACAAATTAAACATAACCCACCTAGTTGCCAAAGCTGACTAAATTTTCAGCAATATAGAACTTTACACAGATGAGTACCAGTTCACATTGCCACACTTTTCATATACCACACAAATGTAAGGCAGAAAGAATAACTAATTACATGGAGCAACTGGAGGATTCAATGTATCTAGGAGTTAATACGGAGCGAATACATCTTGAAGGCCAAAGTTACACTAACTAAAGGAAGTTTGACAGTTGATTGGTGTTGTTTGAAAATCTTATACCACATTTTAATGGTCTGGCTCAACAGTTTGATTCATATCCGTTTAGAAACTAGTTATCTGGAAGAGACTTATATACTCGGCAGTTGAGTTACACATAATATATAAGGGGCTGATAGTACTAAATATCAGTACCCCTAGGTTCAAGTAAATGAAGCTGAGTTCGAGTCCGGGATAGGTTGTCTTCGATCACAGGTAATTGTATCAAAGCCTCTGGTGTGAAGTGGTATAATGTGGTGAGTAATAGTAAGGCTAGCGTCGGTGGCATAGCGGTTAGGACACTCGCCGACCATCCACATGGTCGGGGGTTCGACCCCCAGCCGACGGACTCCTTTACCTAGCTAAGCCAGAAATAAAGCGGGTAAAGAGGAAAGGTCGGGGATGAGGCTAGCAAACCCATCCTGTAAAAATAAACACTGCTACAGAAACTTCAAGCCTCTAGCTTGCAGCCCTATGTTCTATTGGGAACGTGAAGGAAAAAAAGAAAAGAAATAGTAAGGCTATGTGTAGAGTCTGAGGTAAGGAGAGCAAGTCAATCGCTGAGGTTTTGAAGTTGCATCGATTGCCAAGGGTAGGACATGCGTTGAGCATTCCAAGCAATCAACTTCTATATTAAGGGATATCAGCTGACGTAAGATTAGGTTGGAAAAGAATTGGAAGTGATCAAACCAAAATCTGACATCAATCAATCTACGAAGTCTTTCAAAGTTGACCCAGAAACGTTTTCAGTGAGCAGCTCAGATGCATTCACTCTTTTCAGTCACCCCAGATCCACTATATCCACATATGTCTCCCATGTAACTGTTTTCATTTCTCTGAACAATTCTGCTCATTATAGTTTTCTTGGAATTTCTTTCTTTTTCTCTACCCTGTATGGAATGTGACAACTTGAATTGTTGCACTTATGTGCAGAGTTCTCTGTTGAAACTCAGTCGGTCATTAACACCGATTACCTTTTTGATAATACAATGAATTGATCACGGATTGATATCAGTTAGAGAACCATTGAAAACCAGTATTGAAGTACTGGAGAGCTGTTTCATCCTAGTTTAGGAATCATCGGCAATACGCATCCACCGCCAGGGTTCGAACCCAGGACCTTCCGGTTACAAGGCAAGCTAGCTCGCATGCCATTTAGCCACTGCGGATGGATGTTCAACCGACGATATTGGTTGGGGTCGCGCTAAAATATCACGAAATGGTAGAAGTTAAAATTCATGGGCTGGCCATCGAATCGGGTCCCAGTGGCTGAATGGTATACGAGCTTGCCTTGTAACCGGAAGGTCTTGGGTTCGAGCCCTGGATGAAACAGCTGTCCAGTACTCCCTGTGGCTGGTTTTCAATGGTTCTCTAACTGATATCAATCCGTGATCAACTCGTAAAAACAAAACTAATCCTTACAAACCAAATACAGAAAACACACTGAATTTTTATAACAGAAAACGATTATCAGAAAGAAATATGCATACACTATAAAGCTTATACAAAATACTCGAGCAATTTTTTTTCTTCTTTAAAAATATGACGAAGTTAAATTTTAGCAACCATCAACAAGAACCATCCAAATGACTTTGAAAAACTACTGATTACGCTGTGAAAAGCAATACGTTAAAACTGGTGAATTTTTTTTGATAAACTGTATTTCGAAACTGTCTATTAGTACTAATTATGTGATTGACTGCTGCTTCAAGGCCAGTCAATTCGGAATGTATTCGTGGCAGTTCTTGTAGATGGTTGCTATATAAATGGACATAAATAGAATATATATATATCGTACCATTTCATTGACAAATTGTACACGTATTTTCATACGTAGTTGTGGTGAAGTTAAATTGGCCAGCTGTTGATATCCATCCTAAACATAAGTGAAATAAAATACATGAAGGAATTGAATTTAAACAAACAAATTCACGAATTGACAGAAATTAAAATTTATGGTCTGATCACTGGATTCTATTCCCGTAGCTGAATGGTCACCGAGCTCGCCTTGTAACCTTAAGGTCCTGAGTTCGATCCCCGATTCTCAATAGTGATTGATTAAAAAAGGAAAGTTGCCTGGAGCTCTAGTAAGAAGTCATGACTACTGGAGTCCAACATGTCAGGTGTGAGGATAAATACTCGCTGATGGACACTGGCTGACAGTCGCGCTACATATCACTAACTGACAGAAGTTAGAATTCATAGATTGGTCATTGGATGATCTACAAGCTTTCCTAGTAATCAAAGGGTTCTGGGCGCGTGCTGCCAAAGAGTTCCGAACTAGGAAGAAATAGTTGCCCACCGTAGTTTCTCGACTTAAACCAATGCAAGAATTGGTACGGCATTATGCTCCCGTCTTTCCCAAGCAAAATACTATGCTTCATCACCCTGGAGAGAATCAAACACGCCACCCTGGGTGGAAAACTTCGATCAGAACAGGCTGGATTCAGGAGAAACAAGTCATGCATCGATCAAATCGCAACACTACGTATCATCATTAAACAGAGCTTAGAATGGCAGTCAGCTCTCTACCTCAACTTCATTGACCTTGAAAAGGCCTTCGAAGCGTCGACCAAGAGGCGACTTGGAAACTACTTTGCTACTACGGGGTGATGCCAACAATTATACATCTCATCCAACAATTGTACAACAACGCTACATGCCAAGTAATCCACAACGAGAAACTCACGGAATCCTTCAAAATGAAGACGGTAGTAAGACAAGCTGGTTTCCTACTTACCATCTCCAATGATTTTCCTGATCGCGATAGACTGGATAATGCGACAGACAGCGGGTAGCGAGGAGACGGGCATAAAATGGACCCACACAAAAAACTTGGAGAATCTGGACTTCACCGATGATATAGTCTGATTTCCCACAAGCTGGAAGATATGCAAGTGAAAAGCAACAAGTTGGCAGAAGGAGCATCAAAGAAAGGACTTCAGGTGAACATAGGGAAAAGAGGTGATGAAAGTTCCTCGCCAACAGCAACAGCAACAATCAGCATAAATGGGAAGAGTGTGAAAAAAGCAACCTCCTTCACCTACCTACCTACCTGGGAAGCATCGTTTCAACTACAGGCCAACGGAGCTGACGAGGATATCAAAGCGAGGATCGGGAAAGCAAGATAAGCTTTCATTTCTCTCAAGTCTGTGTGGAGATCAACAGCACTCAGGATGAGAAATAAGATCCGGATTTTAAAATTTAGTGCGAAGTCAGTGCTACTATACGGATTAGAGACTTGGTGCCGAGTCACGAAGGGCACTTCCAATAAACTACAGACTTTTATCAATACTCAATACTCAAGATCAGATGGCCGGCCAGAAAAGATCAGCAACAGGGATTTCTGGGAACGAACCAACCAGGAACCAATTGAGGAACAAATATGCAGGAAGAAATGGAGATGGATTGGCCATACTCTGAGAAAACCATCAAGTGACATCACATGCCAGGCTCTTGAGTGGAACTCAAACGGGAGGCGGCGAGATGGTCATCCGAGGGTGACAGGGAGGAGAGTATGAGAAGAGGAGATAATAGCACGTGGGCATATGTGGAACCAAGTGAAAACGTTGGTGGGCAACCGAAAGCAATGGAGGCGTGAGGCTGAAGCCCTATTTTTCTCTCGGAATTAAAGGAGACAATAATAATAATAACAGTCTCCGGTTTTCAATGGTTCTCTAACTGATACCAGTCCGTGATCAAAAACTTAAAACCATTCAAATCTATACAGACTAGCACTTGAAAATAATATTAACTTCATGCAACGTAAAATACAGTAGTTCGACTTACTTCAACAATACGATTTCTATGCACTGTGATCACAGCACCAACTGGGCCATCATCTGTAAGCCAATTAGTTCGTGTATGTATCCCCAGAGATGCTTTATCTTCACGTACAAAATCTCGAAAAAGGATAACACGCTATTAGATAGATTGGATAGGATAGATGTTGAAAAAAATAAACACTTACCTCTTTGTGTGGTATAATATGTGGAATATGCTTTAGGAGAAAAGTTGCATGGGGTTTCGGTTTGCGTAAATCGGAGAGAAAAGCTGAAACTTTGAGATTACTGACGTTTGTTGGTTGGTTTGTTTGTTTTTGTATGCCAGGACGATTGATTGGTATTACATGAGAAATAAAGCAGAAAAACAGTAGATACTCTTTTTATAATTTAGGTATATAAAATTATATATATATATATAGAGAGAGAGAGAGAGATTGAGATTGGTAACTAGGTTGGGGCGTTTAGTACCTGAATTGATGCATACGGAATCCTATCATTCAAATTCGCAATGCGATCACCAAGCTAGGTAGCTCACCATTACGATGTACTTTACATTTGTGTCAAGCGGTTGAATACAGTCGGTAGGAAGCTCTGAATCTAAGTTTCGTCCTTGTCGGAACTCGTCGGCAAGATGTACCTGCAATCTTGTAGGAACTCATGCCGTCTTCAACCACCTACTATCACATCATGGTTTGCTGCTATAGCCAGCCACCTTGCTTGATCACCACGTTGCAAACGTGACTGAAGGAATAAAGTCTGCATCAAAACCAAGGATACTAGTTATTGCCCACTGACCAATTTAAGTTTCCACTACAGTTTTACTGGTGGTTACTGGTGAGTTCGAATACTTTAGTGGTAACACATCTCTGGTTGCAGCATCAGGTAACGCGAGTTCGAATCTCAGAGGGCACATGAGTTACTTAAAGAGTGCAGACAAGCCTTACTAACAAGTGTCGACAATCACAAAACCTAGATTGAGGACCACCTGCTGATAACCTTCAAACATTTAATATATATATATATATATATATATATATGTATATATATATATATATTCTGAAAGCGGTAAATACAGGTTAACTATCAGTTACACATGGATTCATAAACAATGAGTGAAATCTCTAATGTTAAAAGGTGTATTACAAACTGCTGTCTTAACTGTAGTAGATGAAATAACATTTAAGTCTTTGGATCTTTCGGGTAAAAAGTAGCAGCCGGATTCATTCAGTCTCAGACGTCAAAAACTCACCTCCTACCCGAAACATATTTTCCATGTACCAGGGGGGTTATGAGTTAACTATATTGTATGTAAGAGCCTGAAAGCATAGCAAGTTGTCTAGAGTGGTGTAAACGATGCATGACCACCTATTGCCTGTAAGTAGAGAGTGGTGAAGCCAAAGAACTTGAAACCAATCAAATTTCTGCAAAATAACACTTGAAAATTAGTCTAATGCCCACTTACTAGTGACTGATTACAAGATGAAGTTCTCTCGGGTTCTAGTGGCGTTCACACCAGCCAAAGTGGGCATAAAAACAAATACTCGCTGATAACACTGGTTGGAGGTGACCTTATATATCATGAAGCCAGCCAGAATCAGAAAGGCAAGATACGCCTTCATCAACCTGAACCCAGTTTGGAAATCTTCTGCACTATATCAGTCAGTCAGTTGTTCTATACGGGTCAGACACTTGCATTGAGTGTAACAAAAAGGATTTCCAATAGGTTACACACTTTTATCAACAGTTGCCTTCGCTGGCTCTACACTGAAGATCAAATGGTCAGCTGCTTAGAAAGAATTAGCAACAAGAAACCATCGGAACAAACTAACCAAGAAGCCATCATTCAACAAATATATAGGAGAAACTGAAGATGGATTGGGCACACACCGAGGAGACCGTCGAATGACATCGCACACAAAGCAGGCCATCGCTCAAGCGGAACCCGAATGGAAAACAGCGAGTGGGTCGTCCTAGGTAACATAGAGGAGATGACAGATTATGGGAAATCGTGGAGAGCCCCAGCTGAAGAGGACAGTAGAGTACAATGGAGATGCGTTGTTGAAGCCCTACGTTCCACTCGGAACCCAGAGGAATAATAATTAATAATAAATAGTAATAGTATTAAAAAAGAAAGTATAAGAAAGGCACAGTAAATACAATCACTTACGAGATTAACCAAAAATTCTCCGGTGTAAATGGATGTCGACTGTCACGTTCATAAATCACAGATAATAATCGTAAACAGATTGTAAATAAATTAGGCATAGTTGACGTACAACAATCCATAGTTGATAGAGCTGCTGCTGCCTTATTATTATTATTATTAATAGCTGGCATACCACTACTACTACTACTACTAGATAGATTCGTTTTATTCAATTTATTATTATGATTATTATCTGTTGTTTTTGATGATGCACTCCATAATTTCAGCTGGTTAGCTTAATAAAAAGAATAAAAGAGTGGGAAAAGCGGAAATAAACGGGATACAAATTGAATATTTCGGATAAATTATTATCCTTATTATTATTGTGCGTCGGTGGCGCAGCGGCAGAATGCTCGCCAACCACGCCACACGTGTTTCGGGGTTCAATCCACGGCCACCGACGCACTCCTTTACCTCCCTAACGCCAGTAATAAAACTGGTAAAGAGGGAAGGTTGAGCATGAAGCCAGCAGCAACCCCATCCCGTAAAAATAAACACCACTGATACTGAAACTGCAAGCCCCTAGCTTGAAGCCACCCTATGTTCCACTGGGAATGTAAACGAATAAAAAATATTTAAAAAATTCGCAACAGCAAAGGTTACAATACAAATTTATTAATATATATAAGCAATCAAAATAACGTGTTGTCGAGTGTTAACTGGCAAGGATTTTAATGACTGATCACGAACTGGCTTCACAGTTAGAGAACCGTTGAAAATAAGGAAGTACTGGTGGACAGCTGTTTTGTCCTAGTTCGGGACCACTGACTGCCTTCCTTACTTTCTTCAGATTTACGTGACTTTAGCAATGGGTATTTCCAACTCTATTTCAAATGAAGTCAAAGACTAGTAAAAGTCTCTCGTTTAGAACAAGTTTCTATTCTGTCACTCACTTAATAGTAATCCAAAATTTTGAAGTTATCCAACCGAAGTTTTCATGAGACATCTTATCCAGTGAAGTCAACCGATTTGGTAATGAAGACATTTGCTTATTAATAAGGAGATTGTTAGATTTTCGTCACGAACCAACATCAGTCACAGAGACCATCAAAAACCAGGGACCACTAGACAGTTGTTTCGTCCCTCCTTGCAACTCTTCATCAGTGCGTTCCTACTATACCACCAGGGATCGAACCTGGAACCTTCATGTTACAAAGCCAAGCTATTTGACCATTCAGCTACTTCGGGGATTGGGATGCAATGACCACCGGATTCTAACTCTATCAACTCGCATATTCAGCAGTTGACAGTAACCTTAGGGGGAGAATCGAGAGAAGTTGTGAAAGATAATCGCAATCTACTAACTGATTTTCAGAGATTGACCACGAATCGACTCCAGTTAGGGAACCTCTGTAAACTCAGGGGGAAGCGGAGAGCTGTTTTGTCCTAGTTTTGGACTCTTCAGAAGCGCGCTACCATGACCTCAGCGGAAATCGAACCTAAGACCTTCGGGTTACAAGGCAACTTCATTGACTGTTCAGTCCGTCGGATGAAATCTAACTGAAATCAATCTGTGATGAACCTTCATACTAATCAATTCCTTGTTATTAGATGGTTGGAGGTAATCGGCAAGACATATATGCAATCTTGAAGGAACTTATGACCCTTCTGAGATTCGAATGCCCCAGTGGTAACGTCTCTGACTGCAGCACTGGATGACACCGGTTCGAATATCAGAAGGGACATGAGTTCTTTCAAGATTGCAGATACGCTTTGCTAACTGGTGAGTGCCAAATAGCACGAAACCTAAGTCCAGGGCTTCTTGCCGATCGCCTTTAGTCGCCTAACAAAAACAACTCATAGTTTACCGTGATGACGAGCCACCCAGTATGACGGCCACATTACGAACATGACTGATAGAATTCAGTCTGCAGAAAACACAGGACTAGACGCATGACACTAGTTTTTGTACAATTAATCAAATCCTTACAAACAGTGAGACGGAATCCAATGACATAATAGTTGATGAGCTTGCCTGGTAGCCTTGTAACGACAGAAGACAAGAGTCAGGAAACAGATCGTTTATTGAGAAAATCAATAGATATTTATAGATTTTTATGTACATTATTACTATTCGTTATTTTAGCAGAGAAGCAACGTCTTCTGATTGGTTGTTTTCCTGCTAAAGGTTATTCTGTCATCTCTTTGTTGCCGTTTCTTAGATAGTCCGGTGATACATCTGCGAATCGTATCCACCCACGCTAAGTCTGCTGTGGTTGGTTGCTGAGCTCCTCAAGGTTAGGCTTTGTTCTTGTTTTTTCTCATGACCCCGATTCGAGACTTAAACATTGACGTAAACTGTTGCTAACAATTTTGGCTAGCAGACAGCTCTCACCACAGCCTGAAGGTCCCCGGTCCGGCTCCTAGCTGTGGAGTAGTGGATGCATACTGGCGAAGAGATCCAAACTAGGACGAAACAGTTGTATATTACTCCTTGGTTTTCAGTGATCCTCTCACTGAAGTCACAGCTCATGATTAATCTTGACATCAATCAAGTCTTGTGCAAACCAGTACTTCAAATTTTTTTCCTTTCAAAAAACGGCTACTTCATGCTGCTTCCACATCAGTTATACAAAAATATACTGAAATTCTATCTTTCGCCTCAAATCAGCAAGTTATCTTCGATTTGTAAGTGAAAGTGTACAGATTCAGAACCTGTACATCTAATTAAATAACTTTTTGATGCGTCAATGACAGTGTGCCATTAACTTTCATACAGTAGCATAGCTGTTCTCAATGTGATTGATGTGATTACACAGATTCACCTATCACAGCTAATACTTTTGCATCACAAATATGTAAGATCGATGTGAGAACACAAAATCATATACTATGTACTGTGAATTTAGTGATATATATAATGATTAAATCCGGTGCTAGTTGAATTATTTTTTTTTAGTAAAATTTGTTTTCTTAAAATTAACGACAAAATATTGATTTCACTTGGCGAAAATCAGATAGACAGGTAGATAGATACATAGTTTGATGTGTAAAGGTTGCAAGCAGACAAATTAAAGAGTGATATCCCTAATATCTTTACTTTTACAAAACCCTACATAAATATTCTTGTGTTTTCGTTCTCTCAGCTGGATGGTGTTTGTTGCTCAGCTTTCACTGCCCCATCTAGACGACATCGCTTCAGCGTATACTTTAACTGGAAGTGAGCTTTTTAAAAATTCTCCACGAATTTATCAGTCATCTTTCTCCCGATTGTTTCTGGATATATTTTCTTATCTTCTAGCTTTACTTCTAGTGAGATTAATTGTGTTCTTTGTTGACCTGAAAGATGAATGACCTTTTGTCGATGTGATTGCCACTTTTTATTGATTTCTTGGTAAATTTTATCTATGTCAATGTGTCTGTTAATTGCAGATTCGTCTGAATACTAAGTGGCTACTAGAAATTCTCTGAAAAATGTGTTATCTTTCCTTTGTCAAGAATTTATACATTTTCCTAAATGAATTAGTGTCCGTGGTTGTCTGCATATTATACTAATATGAAGAGAATACATGTGGTGTCTTTTGACGGCTATTTTATGTTTGTAGATAATTTCGTGGATCCCGTTGAATTAGAATATTCGGACGATATAATTCATCTACGTGAAGATGCAGATTGACAAAATGCAGAGTCTTCAGAACACCTTCAGGAGAAGCAATCTTCAAATGTTTAGCATGTGATGCACTCCTGCTAAATGTAAGATGATATGATGCTACAGGACTAGACTATACTGACTCATTCCTAGCTTAAACATGGGTAAGAGTGATGTGGTAACTGAGCGTGTTGACCACTTCACCTATTTGGGAAGTTGTATCAGCTCAACAAGGATACAGAAGGTTAGTTTGGCACTTGCCAAGATACTCCATCTCTAGCTCAGTAGACGTGATGCCCCTCTGACTACCGATCAAAGGAAGTGCGTACTGCTCAGCAACTCACTCCCACCTCTTCCTGTATGGCTGGCTGTCAGACATGTTGATTGAAACTGGAAGACATGGAAAGGCTAGCTAGCTGTCTTGGATCATAGGTGTCAGCCTTCTATCTCACGTGCTAGGTGGTAGGTGTAATAGGGTGAGCAATATTGACGTGAGGCATCAGTCAAGTGCTAGGTAGGCAGAGGAAGTCAATCGACGAGGTTGTGAAGTAGCTGCTTCGATTGAGATGGTTAGGAAAAGTGTCACAAATGCTTACCTAGCCATCGCCTACCTCGACAACACGCAATGTTAGCTGATATAGATAAGATGGTTCAGGTTGGAAAAGAGAAAGCTAGTGGTAGTCAAACCAAAACATGATTTCACCACTCGATCAAATCCACAACAGTTAGTTTCAGACAGCCACCCAGCCAGTCAGTCACGTAAGGAGGTGTAGACTGCTTGACTGGTTGGCGTATTCAGGATGGTAAGAACCAATGGAGGCTGGATGGAGACAATTTGTCGTATGGCTCAAAATCCGCTTTTTCAGTTATGGTGCCGATGCATTCACTATTTGTGATTTTTCATACCCAATAAAACTTCATCGTTCTTCCATATTACTATTCCTTTTCCCTCACTCACACTTCTGTTTATTGTCTCTCTCTCTCTCTGTCTGTCTTTTGAATCTCTCTTTACTCTCTTATCTTGCTTTGTGTGCTACAAGGAGGGAGCGTGGCAACTAGAACTTCCGCACATCTGTGCAAAGTTTTACGTTGAAACCAGTCGGTCAGTGGTGGATGCGAAGACAAAGAGGGCCTCTTCTTTGACCAGTACAGAGCTTTTCACATACATAAATAGTATTATGACTGTGAAATCAAATCGAATGTTTACACTGAACTGCTAATTTATATATCTTACTCTACTCAACACACTTAATGAATATTTTTACGCATAAAGGAGAAGATAATTCACTTATCCATCTTCGTTAATGAATGACCTCAGTGGAAAACCTCAATATTTGTATCTTTAGTTGGACTGACCAGTTGTCAGTGTATAAGCATTCGTACAACCGTGAAGCACCTTAATCTCGAAATAATACAGAATAATTTGTAACTCAGATGGATGATTTTGATGTAGTTGTGTTTTCTGAGCTGGTTGGTTTAATTACAGGGCTTATATTGTCGGAAGTGGAAGTGGCTTTTATTGTCCCCTTAAAGATATCATCCTTAGTGCAAGCTTTCATATGAAGTGAAATTTGAATTCGAATTCTCAGTGAGTGATATGATTGTATCTCCTGACAACTTTTGTCGTGATTCACTGTTAATTTGTGTCAGCATTGGTTGTTCATGTTGACTATTTAACTATTTTGTTAGATGGCTTACTCTTTATTGGTTGATAAATTTAATCTGTAATAATGTGTCTGTTAATCGCGGATACAACAGAGTACAATGCTTCAAGGAATTTCCTGGTATTATTTGTGATTCCACTGTTTAAAGTCTCTACATTTTTACAGTCAAATTCATGTCCATAGTTTTCTACAAGCATCAATAGGACGTCGGTGGTATAGCGGTTAGGACGCTCGCCGACCATTCACATGGTCCGGGGTTCGATCCCCGGCCACCGACGCACTCCTTTACCTCACTAAGTCAGCAGTAAAGTTGGTGAAGAGGAAAGGTTGGGCATGAGGCTAGCAACCCCATCCTGTAAAATAAACACTGCTACAGAAACTTCAAGCCACTAGCTTGAAGCCCTATGTTCCACTGGGGAACGTGAAGGAAAAAACCCATAGGAAAAAGTAGGTGTTGTGTTTATCTGTATCTCTGTTTTTTATTGTCCACCTTCTGCATTTTATAAAATCATATTTCGTTCTATTTATTAATATTATTCCCTTGGGCTCCAAGTAGAATATACGGCTTCAACAACACATCTCCATTCTTTTCTATTTTCCACCGCCCTCCTCAGCTGGGTCCACGATTGCCCGTAATTTTTCATCTCCTTTCTCACACGACCTCCTCCATGTCACCCTAGGACGACCCACTCGTCGTTTCCCATTGCGATCCCAATCGAGCAATGGCCTGCATAACGCGCGATGTCATTCGACGGCCTCCTCGACGTATGCGCAATCCACCTCCATTTTCTCCTACATATTTGTTGGTTGGTTTGTTCATTGCCAGAGGTTCTTGTTCTTCCTGACCGGCCTGCCGGTTGGCCATTTGATCTTCAGTATGGAGCCAGCGAAGTGGGCGGCTGCTGGTGAAAGTCTGCAACCTGGTGGAAATCCTGTTGTGACACGCAGTGCGAATTTCTGACCCATATAGAAGAAGTGACTGACTGACATCACGTTTGTGTTGGAAATCCGAGTCTAGTTCTTTATGCTAGTTGAGTGCAGAAAATTTCCAAACTGGTTTCAGATTGATGAAGGCGTATCTCGCCCTTCCGATTCTGGCTGGCTGGCTTCGACATCTTCATCTGTTCCGACTGCCTGTGGCTGAAATCGTGCTTCATAGTAGGATAAGTGAAGGAAGTAACCTCTTTCGAATTTCTCCCGTTGATGGTGATTGGTGCTGGCTGTTCTTGTTGCTGTTGTTTAGTTATCTTCATCACCTTCGTCTTCTCTGTGTCGACCTGGAGTCCTGTCTTTGCTACCCACCTCTTCTGCCAATGTGTTGGTTTTCGCCTGCAATTCTTTGAGTTTGTGTGACGTTAAACACAAATCATCTGCGAGCTCCAGAGCTTCTAGAGTCTTCTTTTCGGTCCAGCCTATTTCTTTCTTCTCGCTTCCAGAGCACAGTATGACGCATAATTCGTTCTGTTTACACAACACTAAAATATCCTCCCGTAAACGACCTGGTACGGCCGAGTGGATAAACCTCAGTTTTCCTCTCCAAATGCTCTCATATATCCACACATTTATAGTCTCTGTTAGGTAAGTCCTATTCCCATTGACTTCACAAGGTAACAGAGGTTTGGTTCACAGAAGTCGAACTGCGAACCCGAACGTCTGGAGCTTCCGGAAGGACTGATTGACATGCAAGTTTAACTAGAAGAGCTAGAAAACCTGACTGAAAACCCTATAGTGTACATGGCCTCCATAATCTGAAAAGATCGAATAGCGTATTAACCTGTTTTGGTTGCCAGAAACCGACCATGAGAACGTATCTCCTCACATTGGTCCACTAATTTATGGATCACACTTCAAGTCAAAGGCTCCGAGGATGGACCCCATAAAACAACTACCTGTTTGGGACTGGGCATCGAAGCAGTATTTAATTCAAGCTTCCGAACAAACTATGAGATTAGGTATGACTCATATCTTGGCGCTCAAGTTTGTGTTCTAATAAATAAATATTATCATTATTTCCTTTAATTCCTAGAGGAACATGGGCTTCAGCTGCACGCTCCACTGCGTTCGGTTCTCTGCTAAAGTTTTCACCTGGCTCCAGGTCTACCCACATGCTTTCATGTCCTCTTCACATGACCTCCTCCAAGTCACCCTTGGACGACCAACTCGTCGCTTCCCTTTCGGGTTCCACTCGAGGGCTTGTCTAGTGATGTCACTTGATGGTTTCCTCAGAGTATGGCCAATCCATCTCCATTTCTTCCTGCCTATTTGTTTCACAATCGGTTTCTGGTTGGTTCGCTCATTGCCAGAGATCTCTGTTGCTGATCTTTTCTGGCCGGCCATCTGATCTTGAGTATTGAGCAAAGACAACTGTTAATGAAGGTCTGTAGTTTGTTCAAAGCGCTCTTTATGACCCGCCAAGTCTCTGATCCGTATAGTAGCACTGACTTCACATTGGAGTTGAAAATCCGGATCTTATTTTTGATGCTGAGTGCTGTTGACCTCCACATAGACTTGAGAGTAATGAAAGCTTGTCCTGCTTTCCCGATCCTCGCTTTGATATCCTCGTCAGTTCCACCTGTAGTTGAAACGATGCTTCCCAGGTGGGTAGGTAAGGGAGGTTGATTCTTTCAGATTCCTCCCATTTATGCTGATTGTTGTCTGTTGTTGTTGCTGCTGTTGGCCAGGAATCTTCATCACCTCTGTTTTCTCTATGATCACCTGAAGACCTACCTTTGATGCTTCTTCTGCCAACTTGTTGCTTTTCACTTGCATATCTTCCAGTTTATGGGAAATCAGACATATATCATCGGCGAAGTCCAGATCCTCCAAGTTTTTTGTGTGGGTCCATTTTATGCCTGTTTCCTCACTGCCCGCTAACCATCTGTCGCATTGTCCAGTCTACCGCAATCTGGAAAACCATTGGAGATAGTAGGCAGCCAGCTTGTCTTACTGGCGTCTTCGCTTCAAAGGACTCCGTGAGTTTACTGTTGTGGATTACCTGACATGCAGCATTGTCGTACAACTGTTGGATGAAATGTATAATTGTCAGTGGCACCCCGTAGTAGCGAAGTAGCTGCCAAATCACCTCTCGATCGACTCTGTCGAAGGCCTTTTCAAAGTCGATGAAGTTGGGATAGAGGGGTGACTGCCATTCCAAACTCTGTTCAATGGTGATGATCCGTAGTGTGGCGATTTGATCAATACATGACTTGTTTCTCCTGAATCCAGCCTGAATAAATGTTACACCACTGAAATATCCCGATAAGTCAATAACTGATCAGATTGATTGAATGAATCACGTGGACATATCAAACACATTTTTTTACCACACTGGTAGGTTTCAAGAGTTAATCGACAGGAAATCCCTGTAAGAAGTAGTCCTTATGCTTGTTACAACTCATCACCTACAACCTTGAAGAAATCACGTCCTCACAGTGGTTCAAAGGCATATGAGTTAACGCCAAAACTGGCAACTGTTATCACATTTAGCTATATCTGGACTACAATTCAATCCTTACAAATCTTAATCATACACACGTTATAGTCACTATACAGTTATCAATGCAATTATATAGACATCAGATTGGTCAGATAAATAAATAGTATGCAGATAGCTAAGGTTTTAGAACAAGGCATATATAGGAAACTTACGATCAGGTACCATGATAACTGATTCATAAATCAAGTGATTGAAAAATGAACCCATTGAACACAATTCATCAACAGTAAATGATTTCTTCAATTCAAATAATTCTGCATCATCTAGAATGCTGAAACATACAGGAAATTAATTAAAAAAACGTACATTAGAAGATCTATCGAACAAATTATAAATCTTATAAGCAAATAAAATAAACTGTATAGGTCAAAGTAATTTAACTGTTGATAAGGTTACCTGAGATATCCTCGGATTGATGAGACAGTGTTGGTGAAGAAGAAATATAACCGCGGTCGTCAGAGGGCGAACAACATTTGGGTAATAAGTTTATAAGACACGTCTCTCCGAAAAGGATTTGTTGAAAGAGTAGGAGACAGGAAGGCGAGCACTCTGATACCTATTATAACTCGACTTGTCAAAAGGGGATCAATTGTGCATACCGACGAGTGGAAAGGTTATGATTCCTTGTCATCCCTGGGTTACATTCATCACAGAGTGAACTACTCAAATGATTTCGTGGATTCAGTTACAGGGACTCATACGAATTCCATTGAAGGATTTTGGGGTAGATTGACAAATAGGATCCGGGCTATAAATGGATCGCAAAAAGATTTGATTTATAATCATTTAGACGAATATATGTACAGAATATGGTGCGACTTCTCTATTGACAGTCCCATGGTGAACTGGGAGATGTTCCTGTCCCACGTTCGGGAAAGATACCCATTGTAACCTTTTTATCCTTTTTTATGCATTTTTTTGTAAATATGCGCTTCCACTTATTATAAACGCCTCTTTCATATGATTGGTCCGTTCAAGGTCGTTTGCTGATTGGTTGTTATTGGTGTCGAAAGTTTAACTTTGCCAGGCAAAGAACTGGATCTTGACAGGATTTTAAAAAGTTGACTTCAGATTACTGTAGCTTGATGCTCTATCAGCTGAGTGCTATGGGACCCGGCCTAACTGAATTGGGTTTTTTTGGAGTTGTGTATATAGTAAGAACTTACTGCCGACTATGAACAGCCACAAGGTGATTCAGAGAGGAGAGAGGTAGCATGTTTGGCATGCTGGTCATCTGTGCGAAACTCCTTCCCGCTGTTACACCTCTATTTGCCAACAGTACGACTTCACCTGTAGACCCTGCACCATGACGGTAACTGCATTTAGTCTAATCGCTATCCAACTGACCTTTCTGGCATGGTAGGGCCTGCAGGAACCTTTTGCTCCAACTGCTATAGGTATTTTCTGCTATCAATTGTAATCACATAACATTGGGAGAGAAGCATGTTATTTATTGGTACATGAGACTATAAGAGATAGTATTGGATTAACAGATTGATAGCAATGAAATGGATTACTTGTATAAAATGCTTATAATAAACAGACTTAATTACTGCTACCCGAAGAGTTTATCTAGTAGTCATGTCTAATCTCAGTGTATATAATATTTCAAAGACTATGCATCTATTACTGCCATATTGCTACTTTTAAGCCATTTAAGCTCTCTCTTGTAGTGTATCTTTAGATATCCTTCGATAATTACACTTTTATCACCATCCATCAGATTGCTATTCACTGTTATACAATAAGTTTAAAGCTATCGATTAAAAGTAGGCTTGTTAAACATATTTTTTTATTCAACTGATTGTTCTGTTGTTTCCCACTCCCACCCCAACCCACCCCCAGAGAACAGCAATCATTCCTAGCATAGCATATTTAAACGGCAAGAGGAATTAGGCTACAGTGAAGATGACGTAAACAAATGATAATAATAATAATGTAGCTTAAATATTCTAAATTCTAACTCTATTTTTGGAAACTTCATTATCTAACGGAGAAAAATAAAAAAACAAAACACTATGATATCAATAAAATTCACGGAATTACTGCATGAAGAAGGCGAAAAGAGAAATGAAGGCAAAGAAGTAAAGCTTATCTAGATGCTATAAGGAATTGGAAACTACTCCTATTACTACTACTACTAATACTAATCAGTAGGACTGTGTAGCCAGACGGAGATTGATATATATATATAAGCAGTGATGAGTATCACTTGATTGGATGGAGGATTTCATCATGAGTTGATATCAGTTAGAGAACCACTGGAGAACAAGCTGGGAGTACTGGACAGTTGTTTTGTCCTAATTTGGGACTCTTCATCAGTACGGACCCCCCGGGGTTGATTGAAATATTTAGTCAGCAGTCAAATGAATATTCATTCATATGAAGCCTGTTTATTGAAGGGAGATTAATTATGCACAAGTAGATAACCACACTTTAGCGTGATATTAGATGGCTGGAGGCAATCGACAGAAAGACTTGGAACTAGGTTGGCACTGCAACCTTCAAGGAACTCATTTCCCTTCAGAGATTCGAACCCGCGTCACCCAAACCTGACTGGTAGAATTCAGTCTGCACCAAAAAAGGACTAAACACATCAGACTAGTTACTAGTGTCCAATCAAACTTTAGTGTCTTAGCTCAGTTAGTTAGCTTAGTTAGGAAGAACCATTGTAAATCACGGAGTAGTACCGGAGAGGTGTTTGTTTTGTCCTAGTTTGGGACTCTGAAGCCGTATGCATCCATCGCCCTATCAGCGATCGAATCCAGGACGTTCAGGTTACAGGGTCACGCTCACTGACTATTCAGCCAATGGGATCCCCCCCCCGCATGAATTCTAACATCTGCCAATTTGCGATATTTAGCACCACTGATATCCGTCCATGATCAAACTTGGAAGAAATTAAATCCCTGCAAAGAAAAACCTGAAAATCAACCAGATAGTTCACTACAGGAGGAAGTTGTTTGCAGTTCCAGTGAGAAGTCATGACTAGTAGGGTCCACTAAATCAGATGTGAGGACAAGTACTCACCAATGATACTGGCTAATGGTCTCCGTATACATCGCTAACTGACAGAAGTTAGAATTCACGGGTCATTGAATTCCGTCTTAATGACCGAATGGTCAACAACAACAACAACCTCGTTTCGTAACCTGAAGGTGTTGGATTCGATCTCCCAGGAGGGTGATGGCCGAGGCTTGTTGAAGAGTCTCAAACTAGAACGAAACAGCTATCCAGTACTTTCTGGTTTTCAATGATTTTCTATCAGTTGATAATCAAACAGAATGTGTTCGCTTCTAGTTCATTAATTATCCTGTATATTTGAATGGATAAAGAAGACATCTTATTCCAGTCAGCGATCGGTTAACAAAACTTGCCTCTTTGGTTCACATACTTGAATAGACTTGCCATCGCTTACACAACAATCTGTTACCTAAACACTTATGCCTAATTTTATTTATTTAGTCGTTTTCACCATAAATTAAGCAACATGAAAACACTAAGTTTTATTCCAGGAATTTTTAGTTTGATAAAAGTCTCTTAAATGTCGATATATATATATATATATATATATATATATATATATACATCGACAGCTGCCTCTGAAACTCATATGGCCGGCAAGAAAGGATTAGTGCAGAGGAACTCCAACAATGAACCGACCAAGAACCTATCGGCTAACAAACATCCAGAAGGAAATGGAAATAGATTACATATATATGCTAAGGACACTCTTGATTGGCATCAAGAGACAGGCTCCCGAATCGAACTCGAACGGGAAACGACAAAGGTGATATTCAGGAGATCGTGTGAGGAGGAAATGAAAGCTTACGCGCAATCGTGGAGCCAAGTAAAAGGGACTGCAGAGAACAGGGCAAAATGGAGATTTTTCATACAGCTGGTTTCCTTTATTAGTTTGAATAAGGAAGGAAGGAACATATTTACAGGTAGGATTATACCAGCTAGTTTCATTTTGTGTTCTCTTTAACTGCGTACATTACAAATAAATCAATTATATGTTACAAAAATTTTCTGAACATACTTTTTACAATAATTTCAAGTTATAGATGGAAAGTATAAGCAACATAATTATTTCAAAGATGATATCGGTAGATAGTTATTAAGTATTAAAAGAGTAACTATTTATATAGTAATTAGACAAGATAGGGGGTAGAGTTCAGATTTCTCTTGAAAACAAGGAAGGACCAGAGACAAAATACAAGAGAGAACAAGAGAGTAAATTTATACATGTAATGGTGGAGAGTTCAGAAGGGTTGGGGGGTGAATAGTGAAGTAAAATTATAGAATATAGATAAAATAATTTAATTTAGTAATAGGTTTGGGACCCTAGTAGTGAGTTCAACTCAGTCAGTGAGTGAAAATCAAAATCAAGATTGAGTGGAATATTATGCAACAGAACAAAACACAAAAGCACACACACTATTTTGTTCAGAAAATTCTGTAACATAAAAATGATTTAAATTAATAAACCCCACTGAGAGATAAAAAAACAACGAATTCAGCGAAAGTTCTCTTTTTGACGATTTCATTTTCATAGCTGTACAACAGACAATAACAATCAGTTTTCTTGTGTGCGTGTGTGTGTGTTGAAGTTTGACAATGAGTGGAAATGCTAAAGTGCAATAATATTGGTGTATAGGGTATCCCCTACGCTTCGTAGAGGCCAATAGCAAAGTACGTGGTACAAGTACATAAATTGATAAGGTAGCTAAAAAAGTATTGCACCTAAACTTAGAATTTTGGGGTGACACTACGAGTGTGGCACTTAAAAATCGTCTGACGAGATCATTAATGATAACCTTCTTTGCTGCCACTGATGCACCTTAATGTCGAGAAAATGTTACCTCAATTGTTTAATTCCATGTGTATCTATATGTTCACATGCTCTTGTGAAGCTAGGTACATAGGACGTTCGTCTACAAAAACGTATCCCTCCACATTCGAGAGCACCTCCAAGTTGGGCTGAGCAAAGCAGAACGCAGAGGTATTAATTCATCCATATTGCAACATATTGTAGATACTGACCACGCAGTATCTGACACACATCGTTCAATATAGTCTACAAAGTCCGACAAAGTTTGCCGAAAGGGAAAGCACAACTGCATTTGCTTTGTATAGCACAGGCTTTGGCAATACATAACATGAAGCCAAAACCTTGTGTAAAACACCAATTTGTACCATCTCTTTCGTTACCCTGGTCTTGATTTTACTATGTAATTCACATAAGACAGATTCTAGAACATAGGCATTCCTACCGGCGTCCAACAATCATTATATTTCTTGACCTAAAGGCGGAATTCGATTCTGTCGACTGAGAGCTACTCTGGCGATGCTTGACTGTAAAGGGAATGCCGAGAAAACACATTGCACTGATTACGGCACTCTACTCGAACTCATGCAGCCAGGTGAGGGCTTACGGCGAGTTGTCATCTGAAGTGGTGACGACTAGTGGCGTCCGTCAAGGATGCCCATTATCCCCATTCCTATTTAACTTCATCATAGATATACTAATGGACTTAACCTCAACTCACTTCAGAGACTCACGGATTGACTTGCTACTAGGGAATAATCTCGTTGTCTTAGGATGTGCAGACGATATAGTCCTTCTAGGCGAGGACGCTGACATCTTCTGAACACCTTGAGCTGCAATCTACGAATGTTTGGCGTGCGATTCGCTCCCGCCAAATGTAAGATGATGTTACAGGACTGGACTACACTGACTCCTAGTTTAGAAATGGGGAGTGAAGTGGTAGAGCACGTTGACCGCTTCACTTACTTGGGAAGTACCATCAGCACCAACGGGTTGATCTCTGATGAAATTTCAGTACGGATACAGAGGGCTAGTTTCGCATATGCCAGTTTACGCCGTATCTAGAGTAGACGCGATATTCGGCTATCGACCAAAGGGCGGGTGTACTGCTCATCAGTCCGCTCCGTCCCCCTTTATGGCTGTGAGACATGGCCATTGAGAGTGGAAGACATGAAAAGATAATCTGTCTTCGATCCTAAGTGTCTGCGTTCTATCGCCCGCGTGAAGTGGTATAATAAGGTGAGCAATATTGAGGTTAGGTGTCGAGTGCTAGGTAAGGCGGGGAAATCAATCGACGAAACGGTGAAATTACTTCGACTGAGATGGTTAGGACATGTGCTACGTATGCCTAGTCATCGCCTTCCTTGACAATGGGCAATGTTAGCTGATATAGGGCCAGGCTGGAAAAGAGCTAGCGGCGGTCAAACGAAAACATGTCACCAGTCAATGAAATCTACAGCAGTTAGTCTAAGTCACGTAGGAAGGTGTAGACTTCCTGACTGGTTGGGGTCCTCGGGACGGTAAAAACGAGTGGTTGGAAACAATTAGTGACATGACTCAAAATCGTTCTCAATGACAGCGCAGACGCATCCACTCCTTGTGACCTATGATTTCCAGTGAAACTATATTGTTCTTCGTTACTACAATTCCTTTGTCTCTCACCTCTGCTTACTGTCTATATTATGCATTTCTTCTACTTTCTTCTCTTGCTCTGTGTGCTACATGGAGTGTGGCGACTTGAACTGCTGCACATCGGTGCAAAGTTCTATGTCGAATACAGACAGACATGAGAAAAACTTTTTTATCCTTCTTTACTCCGTGTTCCACTTTTGTTTTATTCCATTTCACTTTATGTTATATTCTAACGCTTTATCTAGTCTACTACTTTGATAACATTTCACTCATCCTATGTTTCCATCTTATTATATTCACATATTCCCATTTCTGAAAGTACTTTATTTTCCGATCATCTATTTCACACATTGAAATTTATTGAAATTTAGGTTGACCTCTACTTATTTAGTTATTCATGCATATATATAATTGATTTACTTGGGATGTATGAAGTTGAAGAGAGAGACAGAAAGATCACGAAATAAAACGAGCCCGTATAATCCTGCATGTAATTATATTCCTTCTTTCTTTATTCAAATGGAGATTAGCCGTTGAAGTCATATATTCCACTTGGAACCCAATGGAATAATAAATATAACAGAGTTTTGCGGTTAAAGACGAATCGACACTTATGTCTAATGACGGTCATCCCATTTATCAAATCTGCAATGGCCGATATATTTCACAAGTAATAACCGCAAAGATACAATACTGTTTCACTGGTCAGTAAATATATTAAATGAAATAATCAGAAAATTTTTCCTTAAAAAATACACGAAGTATCTCACCTTAATAAATTACTTGTAGCTGCAGCAAATATTTGCATTAAATGTGATTCATGCGGTTCCAAGTAGTATACCGATTGTGAATTCATAATCACATTGGCCCAATCACGTACAGATCCACAACAAGAAATTAAACGCCACATACGAGGCAATAAATCGCCCAGTGATAAACCTATGGTAATTATTGAGATAAAATGAAATCAAATGAAATCGAATCCCGGTGGGTGCGTACTGATGGAGAGTCCAAAACTAAGACAAAACAGCTGCCCAGTACTCCCAGGTTTTCCAATGGTTCTCTAACTAATGTCAGCTCATGATGAAAATCCTGTAACCAATCAAACAAAATCCCTACAAAACCAATACTTGAAAAAGAGAAAAAATTGTCTTTCCTTGCCCTGGTAACTGTATGCCTTTATTCCCTCTTTCATTTGATTACGTAATCTTTGGCTTTAACCTCACCCCCACCCCCTTTGATATAGTGTAATTTTGCTTGTCTTTTGTTGCTTTGATTTCAGTTGAATTCAGTACATTGTTACCCAATTTATTAGTTAAATGAATCATCTTACGCACCTCTCGTCTTTATTACGTAACGCCTTCACCGTTGTATGCATACATTTACTTTGTTTAAGCTTAAACTCCCTGTGTAAAAAGTAGATAAGCGTAATTTTCTGAGCATCGTTCACTAAGTTTGGAACCTCCTGTCGTCAATTGACATCATGAAAAAATTCGCAAATATCTTAAAACATTTCTATACATGAACGAACACATATGACAGCAGCTAATTTATTGAAGTGTGCAGTCACCCCCACTGAGGTGAGTAAAAGGTGGACTTCAAATCTAAGACTCTGTGTAGCTGACAATGTCTGTCTCTGTCTGGATTCAACATAGAACTTGGCACCGAAGTGCAGCAGTTCCAGTTGCCACGTTCCAAGTAGCACACAAAGGTAGACAAGAAGATGAGTGAAGAGAATCAAGAGAGTTTTGACAAGTATAAGAGTGAAACACAATGAGTAATGGTAGAAAGGAATATGAAAGATTAAAGAGACTGAATACATCTGCGCCATTGACAACGATTTTGAACCATGTCACCTATTGTTTCCAGCCATTGATTCTTAGAGTCCCGAGGGCGGGCCCCAACCCGGAAGTCTGCATCTCCCTACCTGACTCAGTTTAACTGTCAAGGATTTCATGGATAGATGCCATGTTTTTGTTTGGCCACCGCTTACTCTTTTCCAACCTGCACCTATATCAGTTAGTAATGCCCGTCGGGGGAGGCGATGGTTAGGCATGCGCAGCACGTGACGTAGCCATCTCAATCTATGTAACTTCATAGCCTCTTCGATTGATTTTCCCTTTTTTCTCAACACTCTACGCCTAACGTCAACATTACTTACCTTATTATGCCACCTAACGTGAGAAAGAGATCGTAGACATCTATGATCAAAAACAGTCAACCTTTTCATGTCTCCAAATCGTATTGGCCATGTTTCAGGGCAATAGAGAAGGACGGAGCGAACTGCTGAGCAGTACACACGTCCCTTGGTTGATTGTACCTGACAATAGGAGTGTGAGACCAATGCATCACACACACTACCCAGTGACAATAAAACAAAAAACTTTTTAAAATAGAAAAGAAAAAAAAAGGAATTAGATTAACCTACCAGCTAGAATAGCACTCCTAATTTCTTTTAAACTTCCTGAAGTAAAACAATACAGCATACAAACAGCTTTCAGTGATTTCGGTAGATCACTTGGTCCAGGACAATCTGAACGTGTCGTCGAAAGATTCGGTACATAATTATTCATTCTCTCCTTTTTACTATTTTTAAATCGATTACGATAAGTTGATGAGTTGGTTATTTGACGCAGGAAATTCGATAGACCATGACGAACACGATGGGCATAACCATCAACATCAGAAGTGCTCGATCTACCGCCACCGCCACCACTAGTCATCATCATTCGTGATTGAGGAGGCAGTAGACCAGCTACAGCAAGTTTCTCTGCTTTAGACGGTGCACCAGGACCAGGACCAGGGCCAGGAACAGTAGAACTTGAGCTACTTGGACTCGGTGGATGACCTGCAGTAGATGGATTTCCATCTGATCCACCACTGCCTTCAGGTAGACTTAATTCAGCTTGTGCATATAGGTCGGCGAATAGCAAACGAACCATTCGACCATTCCATAGTAATCGTAATTGACTTGTTACAAATGACATAGCTGCTTGTAAACTGAATACAACAAATTAATATAAGAAAATTGAAAAAAAGAAAGAAGAAACACTAACCATCAATCACACTGCTTTAATAAGGTGAATAATATATGTCACTCAAAAGTATCAATCAATAGATTCCTTATAACCGGTACTGGATTTCATTTTTTTTCCGTCGTAACTCTATCGAGGAAGCGAAGAAGCCATTTAGGCAATCACATGCAAGCAATCTATACCCAAGCAAAACTTATATTTCCCTACATCACTCAAACTTAGAAGTCAATGATGGCATAAGTTGGTTGGTGTGACGGCTTGATTTAGGGCATCCTTAGTTTCTTTTTTGTAACTTAGTTCTATTTATTTCTGCTAAAGTCACATAGGGGGAGATTGGTGCAGGCATGTGTAACACGCAATCCAAACATTAAGAAGACGATAGAGATTTATAACTTCCTATATTGACTTATGCACTACCCACTACCCTTACATAAAACTATATGTCTAACTATCAAACTACTCACGCGATAATTTTACCAAATCAAGGACACAATGATAAAGATAAGTAACATTCGTGAAATACTTAGTATTTTTATAGATCCGATTAACTTGAATAACCATGTTTCACGAGCATACAGCTAGAGACAGCGCACCATAGCACAGTAGACAGTCTCCCGTAATATGGGTGCCTTACCGGATTTTATTATGAGATGACATTGATTAAAGAACTATTGGAAAACCACCAGGGAGTACTACTGGACAGCTGTTTCAATCTAGTCTGGGACTCTTCATCAGTACGCAGCCACCTCCAGGGTTCGAAGCCAGGGCTTTCCGGTTACAAGGGGAGCTCGTAGACCGTTCACATCATTCCAACTTGGAATTTGTAAGATTTTGGAATTCATGAACTATCCGTTGGATCGGGTCCCTGCGGCTGAACGGTCTACAAGCCCGCCTTGTAACTGGAATGGGTTCGAACCCTGGTGGGTGCGCAATACTGAAGAGTCCAAAACTAGGACGAAATAGCTGTTCAGTACTCCCAGCTGGTTTTCCAATGGTTCTCTAATTGATGTCAGCCTCTGAATAAATCTTGTAGCCAATAAAATCCCTGAAAATCAACACTTAAATAAGTACCTTAGTATCAAAAATAACAAATGCAACTTTCCTATCTGTATCGAGGTCATATTAGTCCTCGAATCACTATGGTTGATGGGGCTATTTAGGCAACTGAAACGGTTTATAGATTCAACCGCTTCAACTAATAGGTACTGAAGGAGAAGTTCTCAAGATGGAACTCACGCTTTTGTCACACTTTTCGTTCAAGGCCGTATCGTTCGGATGTTAAACGGTAACTAGACAATTCTATTCTAACAAAAAGTCAATTCCTACGTAGTTAGATGTGTGGTAAAATCTTCGTAAGTGTATCCATTATAAAGTTAAATAGAAAATTGGAGGATAAGCATCTTCGATAAACACTAATCGATATAAACAACTCATCAGATGGTTCATACATGTTCGGATACTTCAAGAAAAAAAGAAAAGAAATATGCTTGGTAGATATATCTTACAGTGAAAAATGGAGTCAGAATCAGTCTACAGGCAAAAAGAATGCATCCAGTGTGAGATGTCTGATGTTACGTTTGTATCTCAGGATCAGAAGGAGGTGGAACATTTGATCAATAAACCTAAAGTATTTATATCTGTATGATTTTTGGCGGTTTGCTCACGAGTTCTGTTTTGGTGTCTCACAACAACACTGAAATCTAGGAATTTCGAAACGACGTTAGTCCGGCTACATTTTTTATGGATATAGCAAGCGAGAGCAGCTGAAGACTGATTGAACTGCTCCTCCTTAATGGTTTCACTAATCCCTATTTTTAAATGCTAGTTGGTCTCTTTTATTGTTATGACACTGGCTTCTCCACCTAATTAGATTTAACTGTCTTCCCCTCTTCACCACCCATTAATATGATCTTAATCTTTGATTGGACTCGAGTGGTGAATGAACTCTTTGGTTCTAAAACAGCCCCCGAAATTCACCCAGACAACGCCCGCAATTTCTTCAGCATTTTGTTAAACACTACTCCAAGATGTGTAAAACTATCGAAGTTCACTGTTCAGGCACTCTGTCTTTAGAAAGTCATTTTAATATCCTAACCAGCGAAGTGAACTGTAGACAGCCTTCCAATTTTTTTATCTTCTTGGGTCTACTAAGGTACAGTCACGTGTGTACAAACTGGTACATAATCACTATGAGAGTAAATGATTCAGAAGGCAATCTTCAACTAGACCAGTTAAACAAAATAAGTGTTGGTCACACGGTCTATCTAGGAGCTGTAGTTCGTTGGTTTAGACACACGACTTCCCACCCAGTGGGTAACGGGTTCGAACCCCGCCCCACGCAACGAGCTTTTGTCAGCCCCGAGTAGTACAGCCAGATCTCACACAATATGTGCTTTATTGCCCAATGCATGGAATGATTCTTGAGCAACATTGAATCCTACAGTCCATTTGGATCCATCACTAAGTTCAGTCTAATGTTTGCTGACTCTTAGTTCTGAATTCTGTCAGGAATAGAAAGTTATTTCAGCATTCATACTATTAATATTTTAGGTATTCATATCCAATGGTTCTCTAACTGATGTCAGCTCATGATGAAATCATACAACCAATCAATCAAATCCCTACAAACCAATATTTGAATATCAATGAGATGTTCACTAGCGACTGGTTTCTAATGGGAAGTCGTGACCAGTAGGGTGCAGCAGGTCGAGTGTGAGGACGAATGTTCGTCAGCGATGACATTGGCTAGTGGTCGCGCTATGTCGTGAATTGGCAGAAGTCAGAATTTATGGGCTGGTCATTGGATCGGTTCCCAGTGACTAGAAGGTCCTGGGTTCGAACCCCGGTGGGTGCGTACTGCTGTAGATTCCCAAATCAGGACGACAGAAACATCTGTCCAGTACTCCCAGGTTTTCCAATGGTTCTCTAACCGATAACCGAATGAGGTAGATGAATATCTGAGGTGTTCCATTTTTTTCCTTCATGTTCCTCAGTGGAACATAGGGCTTCAAGCTAGTGGCTTGAAGTTTCTGTAGCAATGTTTATTTTTACAGGATGGGGTCGCTAGCCTCATGCCCAACCTTTCCTCTTCACCAGCTTTATTTCTGGCTTAGTGAGGTAAAGGAGTGCGCCGGCCGGGGATCGAACCCCCGAGCATGTGCATGGCCGGCAAGCGTCCTAACCGCTATACCACCGACGCACTCATATCAACAACCTGAGATACAAGTATTTCTCCACTATGTTGTTGACGTTTACTTGCCTAGTTTATCAACTGATACAATAATGAACAAATGGAAGATAATTCAATGACTTAAAACATGCAAGAACTTACGAATTATCTAGTGATTGGGCAAACCAACCAAGAATCGGATGCCAGCTACAAAGATTTGACTTTTTACTGCCAACATAAGTTCCCAAATAATGCATGAATTTAGATAGCACAATCTGTGTAAATAAAATTGAAAAAAATAGTGAAGTTTGATTACTGAATTTGATTTCTATTGAAAACTTGATTAGCTATAAGATACTGGTGTACCTCTAAAGTAAGCCTTATCAAAATCTTTCGCAATCATAGCTGTTAACAAATCAAATAATGACGTGGGCCACTGAGACACTAAGAATCAATGGCTAAAGACTGTTGTTGGTGGTGGCATCACATAAAATCGTTTTCAATGGTACAGATGCATCCACTCTTCATGAACATATTATTATTAATATTATTATTATTATTAATATTAGATATTAACCCTTGGGTTCCGAATTCAGCATACGACTTTAGCAGCACTTCTCCAGTCCCCTCTGTTCCCTGCAGTCCTTTCTAACTGGTTCCGTGACTGGCTTTAAGCTTTCATTCCCTCCTCACACGATCTCCATCATATGACCCTCAGACCAACTCTAGGTTCCACTCGAGGACCTGGTACGTGACGGCACTCAACGGTCTCCTCAGTATATGACTAATCCATCTCCATTTCCTTCTGTATATCTATTGGACAACAGGTTTATGGCTGGTTTGTTGTCAATCGTATCTGACTATCTGATCTTCGGTATAAAGGGAAGACAACTGTTGACAAAAGTCTATAGCTTGTTGAAAATGCTTCTCCAGATGCGTCAACGAAGGCTCTTATACAGTGGATACTAGTCTCCTCCAGGATCAAGAGAGCAAGATTTAACTTAAAAGGAAGGAAATTTACAATTATCCAATGCTACGCTCCTACAAACAACGCAGACCCCTGGAGAAGAACAAAGACTTCTACAGACAACTACAAACAGTTAAGGGCAAGACACCAAATGGCGACATCAAAATCCTAATGGATAATAGGAATAGCAGTCAACAGGGAGAACCTATCATGGATTGAGAGGCTCCTGGCGAAATGAACGGGGACGAAGGACTCTTTCCAGGCTTCTGTATTTTCAATAATCTTGGAATCGGAATTTAGCGTGTATAATCACAAAGATATGCACAAGGCGAAATGGGATTCACTTAACAGACCCACTAAAAATCAGTTAGACTTCATCTGAATCTCAACAGAGTGGAGACGTAGTCTGCTGGACACAAAATCAAGAAGAGGATCAGAAATGTGGGGCTGGCTAGGAGTATATATACACACCACTACTGTTTTTTGGAGGGGAACAAAACAATTCATTAACCATCACTAACTTACGCAAAATTCTGTACAATGCGATGCCAAAATATCAGTTTCTAACAGACTCAATTGAATTAGATTTGCTGCAGAGAGACAAAAAAGAGAAGAAAACGAATACAACTAATATCAGAAAGATAACTCTTATGACAGCTTATTAATATATACTAATACATCCATACATTCCATTTTTTATAAGGAAAAGGACTTCAAAATAAAGAAATTCACCACTTAGTCATAAAGCTTTGATACTAGAAGTTAACAATGTGCTACTCTTTTTATACATCAAAGTAACTGTGCAACGGAAGAAGACAAGGGCCAGGCAACAGATCGTTTATTGAGGAAATCAACAGATATTTAAAGTTAACTGGTGGATGGTAACCAGCAGTGGAATCCAGGGTACACATTTCGTCCTATTTGGGACTCGCCATTATTATTCATTGTTATTAGCAGAGAAACAGCATATTCTCATTGGTTGTTTTCTCGCTGGAAGTTATTCTGTCATCTCTATGTGGCCATTTCTTTCAAGGTCAAACAATATATCTGCGAATCATACCCGCCTACGCTAAGTCAGCTGTGATTGGTTGTTGAGTTCCTCAAGGTTAGTCTTTGTTCTTCTTTTTTTTCTCATGACCAAGATTTGGGACGTAAATACTGACGTAAATTGCTGTCTACCCAAATTTTGGCTAGCAGACAGCTCTCACCACAACCGAAGTAGACTTCGGCTGAGAGTTAGAGGTTACTGTACGAAGATGGTGATTGAAATTAAAGCAAAAATCTGAAGTGCCACTGAATTCAAAGTAGTAATTTTCGCCTTATTTCAATTTCGTTTACCAACCTTTTTGAATTAATACCAATCTATCAAATTACCATTATCTCTAAACTAACTGTATTTCAACATAGAACTTTGCACTGAAGTGCACAAGAGTTCAAGTCACCACACCATATGTAGCACACAAAGGTAGAGAAGAGAGAGCAAAAAGAAGTTTAAAGGAACTATAATGAGCAGAAATGTACAGGTGAAAGAACAATAACGTGTAGAAACACAAAGACTTGATGGATCTGGGCGATTACAAAGAGCAAATGCATCGGCGCCAATGGGAACGACTTAGAGTCATACCACTAATCATTGGCTCTTAGCGTCTGGAATACTGAAACTAGGTAGTCTACACTTCTCTGTATGTCGATAGCTCAGACAAACGGTCAAACACTCCGTGGAATGATATTATGTTATGGTTCGACCACCCGTAAACTACCTTCCGAACTAATTCTATGACAGCTAACATTACTCTTGGAGGAAGATTGCGGCTTAGCATGTGACACATGGGCCAGCCCATATCTAGAATATGAACCACAGCGACTTCTTCTTCTAATTCCGCTTGATTTTGATTGGACAGCTGGTGTGATGAAAACGGTGAATGACGGTGAAAGACCACACAAAACCACCAGGTGGAGAAACTTTCAGTCTGTAATAGGCATCATAGTTCGGTTGGTAAATTTTCATAAGAGTAATGTAATCACAGAGACCCGAGTTTTCTATCGAACTGATTGTAATTATTTTAAGAGATAATCTGTTAATTCAGAAGAAAGAAATGAAGCAAATACAATTTTGAAAAAAAATATCCACATTACGCCTTTAAAGAGGAAATGCTGATAAGCACATCTCTGTGCGTCGGTGGCACAGTGGTTAGGACTCTCGCCGACCATGCACATGGTCCGGGGTTCGATCCCCTGCCGGCGCACACCCGATATCTATGGTCGGCCTGAATTTGGGCTACCGATATCCATGCTGAAAATTCCACACTTGTACTGAAAATACGGTGTGGAATCAAGCTGTAAATCAAAATAAAATAAATAAAATAAAGATATATTATTAGACAAATTTTCCTACGATGAATGTAAGTGATTTACTCCTGGTTAACCTGAAAAAGTGAAAATTAATGTGTATGTGTGTGTGTGTTTTTAACAGTTTTTACCACCCATATCAGCGAACCACCCTTTGAAATTAAGCAAAATGATAAATGGCTAGATGACCGACGACCTCTTTTGAGAAAAAATGAATTAGAGTTGGGTGTGACATATTTACCTTAAATCACCATTGGCGAACCACACGAGTGAGAGAGAGAGGGGGGAGAGAATTCGTAGAAATTAAACAGTAACTCAGTTTTCCAATGACATTCGGAAAAATTTTACGAATCAAGGAAGCATCTTTACGTGTGTATTTTCTAGACAAAGGAGATCACATACAGATATCGTTAAATTCTCTACTATGCTGGACGTGTTTAGACTAATTCGCTACACTAAAGTGACCATGGTAAAACGTTCTCAACCACGCATATCCACAACAAAATCAACACCTTACATTTACGATGACCATACTCCAATATTACAATTCATTTGGACAATCCGTCACATAACAGCAATACTATAATACTATGGCCGACAAAAACAAATGTGAGAGGAGATAGGATAAACAATTGATTGGTACAAATGTTGGAATTGTCGGGGAAAAATAGTTATGACGATAAACATCATCACCTTCATGAAAAAACATTAAGTCACTTCCCCCCCCCCCAACTCTTCATATCCTAACAACTTCCATCCACTCTATGAAAGACCTGGTACAGCAGAGGATGGGTAGACTTCGGTGTTCTTCTCGAAATGCTGTCACGTCGCCACGAGGTGGCCATAGCCTCCCTCTACCAAGTAAGTCATATTCGCTACCGTCACGCGGCGGCAAGGGTGTTCTTCACAAAAGTCAAATTGCGAATCCGAAAGTCTGGCGTTTACAACCAGACTGTTAACAATGCTGGTTTACATAGGGGAGATGGAAAACCTTGATTCCAAACCTATGATGCACATGGGTTCCAGAATCCGAACAAGTCGAATGGAGTATGAACCTGTTTTGGTGACCGGTAACCATGGGAACGCGGCTTCTAACTCTGTGCTCCCCTGACTTATATATCACAATTCAAAGCCAAGACAACCACTTATTTGAGTCTGGGCGTCCGGGCAATATCCCAGCCCTCACACAAACTATGAGACAAAAACGTCTTTTGGTACCCATAATGTACCAATTTTGTGTTTTAAATAAACAATAAATAAATATATGACCTATATCAACAAAGACTTCATGAACTCAATACATGTTACAGTCTAATCACCCTTCACTATATTTTATTACATGAACTGTACTTTATAAAACAGGGGTACTTAAGGTAAATACAGGAATGCTCAATACATGCCACGCTACCACGGTGTGTACTGCTTAGCACAGTCTGCTCCATCCTCGTTTATGGCTGGCTGTGAGAAATGGCCATTGAAAGTGGAAGATACGAAAAGGCTGGATCATAGATGTCTGCGTTCTTTCTCTCGTGTTAGGTGGTAGGTGTAATAGGGTGAGCAATATTGAGCTGAAGCATATGTCGACTGCTAAGTAGGGAGGGGAAACCACCAATTAAGGTGGTTAGGCCATGTGTTACGCGTGCCTGCCTAGCCACCGTCTTACTCGACAACAGGCAATGTTAGCTGACTGATATAGGATATAACAGGTTGGAAAAGAGAAAGCTAGTGGTGGTCAAACGAAAACATCGCTTCATCAGTCAATCAAATCCATAACAGTTAGTTTCAGCCAGCCAGTCACGTGAGAAGGTGTAGATTGCTTGACTGACTGGTTGGGGTCCTTGGAATGGCAAGAACCAATGAAGGCTGCAGACAATTGGTGATAATCCTCGTTCAAAGGTTATGGCACAGATGCATTTACTCCTTGTGATTTGTCGTATTCCAAAAAACTGTATTGTTCTTCCATATTAGTATTCTTTTTCCCTCACTCATATTTCTGTTTATTATCTTTCTCTCTCCTTTGGATCTCTTTTTACCCTCTTCTCTTGCTCTGTGTGTGTTGCAAAGAGTGAATGTGGCAACTGGAACTGATGCACATATGTGCAAAGTTCTATGTTGAAACCAGTCAGCAGGTCAGGCTATAAAAAATCACAACCTCTTCGACATATTTATCTAACACAATTCTCCCTCTCTCGTTGTCGGTGGTTCAGCGGTAGAATGCTCGCCAACCATGCACGCTGTCCAGAGTTCAATCCTCTGCCGACGCACTGCCAAACGTCGCTTAGCTGACAGTAAGCCCGGTAAAGAGGCGAGGTTGGGCGTGAGGCTAGCAACCACACCCAATAAAAACAAAAGAATAAAACCACTGCTACTGAAACTTTAAAACTTAGATGAAGCTTGAAGCCATGTTCCACTCGGAATGCAAAGGACTAAGAGAAATTCCCCCTCTCTCTCAACCACAGGTGAATAAACCTATAAAATCAATTAAGACCGAAGATGTTCGATCTTCTAATGCCTTTAGCTTTTATTGGCTGTTTCTTGTGCTCATAAGAAAGAACTGAGTGAATTATTCTTAAGTACGCTAATATATATATATATTTTTTGAATTTAATTTTTTTAATTTTGATTTACAGCTTGATTCCACACCGTATTTTCAGTACAAGTATGGAATTTTCAGCATGGATATCGGTAGCCCAAATTCAGGCCGACCATAGATATCGGGTGTGCGCCGGCAGGGGATCGAACCCCGGACCATGTGCATGGTCGGCGAGAGTCCTAACCTCTGTGCCACCGACGCACAATTTCTATGTGTAGGAAAGTCAAAACCTCCGACCGCCTTACTCCCTGGACTTAAATTTGGATTTAACAATACGTTTTCGCATCGCTTTACAACTTTTGAACGTTCCTTTTTATTGTAGTGAATGATTTCGATCAATAATTCATGACTGCTATTATTTTTTTCTGAATTTTATAACTCATAAAACACTCTAATCAGTGCTGTAATATTTCAAATATGTGATTTTACTTTCTTTATAACCATTGTAATTCTAATCCACTTAGTCACTAATAAAATCTCATGAAATTAAACAAATTTGTTTGTTTTTTCTCACTGTGAATGTAGTTATTTTTTTTCTAACTTTGTTCAAATTTATTACTAAAATCAAATGCACACGTATATACATAAATCCATTATAAAATAATTAAACTAGTCTAGAATATATGGTGTGCGTTGGTGGCACAGTGGTAGAATGCTCGCCAACCACGCCACAAGTGGTTCGGAGTTCGACCCCCGGTCACTGACGCACTCCTCAACCTCGCCAAGCCGGTAATGAGATCGGTAAAAAGGAAAGGTTGGGCATGAGGCCAGTAGCAACCCCCATCCAGTAAAAATAAACACCACTACTACTGAATCGTTAAAGCTCTGGCTTGAAGCTTTATGTTCCACTGGAACGTAAAGGAATAAAAAATACATATATATGTCTTACCAATTAAACATAATACATAAGATCCTTCTAGACGAGATAGTAGGTTATCAAACTCTTCTGAACTGGCATACAAAGTCAGTATAATTCTGGAGCATAATCTTTCTTTAACAATAATATCATACGCCTACAATATAAAAATAAAGACGAGAGTGAATAAAGTCTGGTGATTATTCATCGAAAACATTTAGATAAAAACTCATAGAAGGTATAAAAGTGTTTTGTTTGTTTTTCTAAATACTAAGTATGAACTAGTCAAATATAACCAAAACTAGAGATCAGAATTCACCATTCATGTGCATTAGACTATAAGGTATTATTATATTATATATTATTTTTATTCCCTTGGGTTCCGAGTGGAACATAGGGCTTCAACAACACATCTCCACTTTGTTCCGTTTTCTGCATCATGCGCGATGTCATTCGACGGTCCCCTCAATGTATGCCCGATCATATCTCCATTTTCTCCTACATATTTGTTGAGCAATCGACTCTTGGTTGGTTTGTTCATCGCCAGAGTTTCTTGTTACTAATTTCTTCTGGCCAGCTGGCCATTTGATCTTCAGTATGGAGCCGGCGAATGCAGCTGTTGATGATAGTCTGAAGTTGCCTGCTGGAAATCCTTTTCGTGACACGCTGTGCAAGTTTCTGACCCATATAGAAGAAGTGACTGTACGACATCACGTTTGTATTGAAAATCCGAATCTTGTTCTTTATGCAGGTTGAGTTCAGAAGATTTCCAAACTGGTTTCAGGTTGATGTAGGCGTATCATGCCTTTCCGATTCTGACTTTGACATTTTCAATCGTTCCGCCTGTAGTTGAAACAATGCTTCCTAGATAAGTGAAGGAGGTAACCTCTACTAAATCTCTCCCATTGATGGTATTGGTGCCGGTTGTTGTTGTTGTCGATTGATTATCTTCATCACCTTCGTCTTCTCAGACTAGAAGGTATACTGATTTTTACTGTACCTCGATTTAGTGTTAAAATTTTATCATATAAATAATGAGATTTGTCTTTCCCTCTTGCTTCTGTTACGCATCATGTAATACCTTAAAGACGAAATACATAGAAACACCTCTGTGTTATAGCATGTTATGGCGAATTACTAAACCTCCGGAGGGTTGCTTGAGTCCAATGGCATCATCGTGTAAAGTACTCTGAGGTCCAGCAGAGTGTATTTGGACACAGTGAAGGTCATTGTGAAACACTGGCTGGCCTCGGTGGCTTAGATACGTCCTACGAATGCCCTCCCAGGAACTCGCACAAGGCTGTTCGCTACTTCTGGAACGGCGAGGTAGTAGTTAGGGTGGTTGCACTATAAATGGCAGAATTTGGAATTTATTGACCAGTGGATTGAGTCCCAGTGCTTGAATGGTCTACGAACTTCATTTGTAACCGGAAGACCCTAGGTTCGAAATCCGTTGGGTGCTTACTACTGAAGAGTCACAAATGAGGACAAAACAACTGTCCAGTACTCCATGGTTTTCTAATGGTTCTCCAACTGATGTCAGTCAGTGACCAAAGCTGTAGACGATCACATCCCTGCAAACCAACACTTAGAAATAATAAAAACGACTGAGTTGTAAATAAAAAAATAAGTTCAGATAACATATTTTAGAGCCAACTTATAAATAACCAACAAAGAATACTCATCACTGTTCGAGAATTACTGACATAACAGGATAAAAATGAGTGAAAAAAACTAAATAAATTTAAAAATGTACAATCACACAGTAATGAATATGTTGTACTTACTTCATTCATCATTGAATTTATATGCAATATAAATCCAGGTACAGTCAAGATATTAGTTGCAAATGAAATTACTAGTTTCTCAGGAAACTTCTCAGATATCAACGGTCTAGTGTAGATAAAAATTAAAAACAATGAATTGTATGTGTGAAAGACAATTGCTTGCTTAGCGTATGCATAATAGAATACAATATAGATCACAAAAAGTTCTATCCAAATTTTAGTAATTTATAGGTGATAATAAAATCATGATGCATGTTTAGGAATAAACGAACAAAATAATTAATTTCTGGATACTATGTTTAACGGTCTATATCAGGATACGCATTTCGTCCTTTTGGGAACTCATCATCTGGATTTATTTGCATTCTCAGTGTGTGATAGTGTTCCCACTGAGACTCCAACCCAGTACCGATCGTTTTAAACGCTACAGGACTAGGGCATAAACGTGATATCCGGCTATCAACCAAAAGGCCGTGCGTTCTGCTCAGTAATCTGCTTCGTCCTCCCTCATGGCTGTGAGACCTGGCCATTGACAGTGGAAAACATGATAAGGCTAGCTGTCTTTGAACAAAGGTGCTTGCGTTCTATCTCCAGTGTAAAGTGGTATAATAAGGTGAGAAGTATTGAGGTTAGGCGTTGAGTGCTAGGTAAAGAGGGAAAATCAATAAACGAGACTGTGAAGTTATATCGACTGAGATGGTTAGGACACGTGTTAAGCATGCCTAGCCATCGACTTCCTCGACAATGGGCAATGTTAGCTGACATAGGATGGTTCACGTCAGAAAACAGCCAATGGTGGTCAAACCAAAACACAAAACATCAGTCAATGAAATCCACAACAGCTAGTTTAAACCACGTAGGAAGATGTAGACTTCCTGGTTGGGGTCCTCGGGACGGTAAACAACAATGGTTTGAGACAATTGGTGATATGGCTCAAAATCGTTCTCAATGCATTGCGCAGATTCATCCACTCTTTATGACTTATAACACCCAATAAAACTACATTGTTCTTCTATATTACTATTCCTTTCGCCTCATATCTCTGTTTAGTGTCTCTATTTTGCATTTCTATTTTCTTCTCTTGCTTTGTGTGCTACATGGAGTGTGACGACTAGAACTGTTACACATTGCTGCTAAGTTCTATGTTGAAACTAGTCAGTCAGTTAGTCAGTAAATAGGGCCATAATAGCCACCAAAATACTCAGTCTCGGTACAACATAATCAATCAACGGGAAACAAATTCTATATACTTCACCTCTGAGTAAAAAATGAGTATTCACTGGACAAACAGTTATTAATGTTCTCTAATAACCAATACTACAATAATAGTAAGTACAAGATACTCACTTTTAAAATTAACTACTCACTGTCTGTTAGAATTCTACGAACGCTTAAGCTTTAAGATGCGACAGTGCATTCGTAGAAATGGGATATTTACAAATGGTGACTACTTGAACAGAAATCAAACATAGTCCAAACTTGCATCGTTTCGTAGCAGTTATATTGGCTATTCTGTCAAAAGTGATATTGACTAAATAAACTAGGCTTGATAGACATGGTCTTTCATGTTGCTTAAATGAAAACAACCTAATATAAAAGCAAAGACACTAACTGAGTTTTCTATGCATTCCCATAACCAAGTGCATCAAACCAGTATTAGATAGGAATTGAACTCAACAAGTACATTTTGTTTCTTACTAAGCGTTATGTAGTATCACTTCTTTTTGTATTGTATTGCAATTTTTAACAAGTTTAACGAGTAACAGAAGTAGCGTCACAACTACAGATTGTCACCTACTAACCCTTTAACGATAGTGACATCAGGAATTTTAATATTACTCTGTTAAACAAAACTTGAAATCAGAACTAATGAAGTGGAGAGTTGAGTTCACGTGGCACAAATACAGCTTTTCATGAACATACTGAAGTTGTATTATAAAGAAGTGAATGTAAAACACTTCGTTTTGACGACCTAGGAACGGAAGTTGGTCTATGTAAGTCTATGCTGCGCTGAACTGCTTTCAGCTTCCGAGAATAAATTACAGAAACTATTCACAAAAATTTAAGATATTTGTGTGCATACGACACTAACCTCATAGCAATGGTGAATATTCCTGTCAAGGAGATTTTTGTCAGAGAAGGAGTATGTCTGGCTAAACCTTTTTGCAAAACAGTCTGAAACAAACAAATTTATCGACTACAATTGGGAATTACATTCAAATTTTCAAATAAACGCCTTTGAACAAGATGTTGGAGGAAAGCTGAAGCTAACTGGTTCATTGCAGGCTTTAATTTCTCATCTAGAAAATAAATAATTTAAAAGATAATCATAATGAAGGAGTATAGCTACATTAAGCTAAATTTATCTGACAAAACATTGAAAACTTGTGATAGAGATACTTAAGATAAAAATATATGCGATAGCAATCAATAAATTTACAATATCCAGTAGATAATGGTTTAGAGGTTCAAATATCACATCTTTACCTTAAATCTTACTTCGTTTATTGAATTCCAAACACTAATGACGAGCATTTTGAATTTGACAATTGGTACAAATGAATGGAGGGAAAAATTACGAATAAATCAATGTAGCCGTATATAGAAACATATAACTCCTTGAGAATGCTTGAGTAGGTTTTATTTTGGAAATAAGAAAATTAAGATAAATGATAACTTAGATGTAAATATTTTGCTGTAAGATATGAAAAATCTATAAATTTAATTTCCTCCTGGCTAAGCTGAACACACTGGTTCGTGAAACAGAATACAAATTTTTCACACCCATCCCCACTGACTGTATTTACTAGTTGACAGAAGAAAATACGCCGAAGAAACAGGTCGGAAGGAAAGAGTCTACAAAAAAATCTTAAATGCACTGCACAGTGGGTAATAATACACCAGTCGCGTCAGCATATGAAGGGGTTGTGTGAAAATCTTAAGACATGAAGTGACATTTAGACAAATTAAAATTAAAAGCGAGATGTGGTGTAAAATTTAACATAAAGACGAGTTATGAACATTATAACTCAGTTATGAAGTAAAGATTACTCACAAACTAGGCTGTGGCTGATAGCACTAGTCAGTTCTCCACGATGAAGTATATAGGGAAGGAATCGAACTCGCACTCATTAGCTGAAAGACAAGTGCTTAAGCCTATGAACCATATGACACCATTATAACCAGACCGTTAGATCATAGATTTCCGCCATCTTGCAGTTCCCATTCAGGCAGCCTAATCAACTCAGATCAACCAGGCTTCATAGAATAGTACCCGGTCTGTATACGTCATCATTCGCTTTTTCCAAACTAATCCCGCTTCTGTTAACATAGAACATTGGAGTCAGAAGTGAGTACAGACGGATAACATGTTCGAGTTACCCCAGTCAATGTAAGTTAACAATGTACCTTATCTCATTCCACACTTCACGTCAAACTTTCGCACTGTGAACATGAAAATCCCACCAAACAAAGATACTATACAGGTCATAGTAACCGAATAGTCAAAACATACTGCAATGCAATACACTTGATTTTTAATGTAAAATCAGTCGTCTCACATATACGAACTTCGCATATACTGCACAAACCCTTCGTATTCCTTCGGAGATTTCTTTACTATCAGCCAATAAATATGGTAAATCATATCATAAAGCTGTTATTGTTTTAGCCTAGTATAAAGAGCTCACTAGATTAGATAATGCATCCTTGGTCTCTGTATGACTAAACTGAGTCCACTGAAGTAGCCAGATAAAGAGGCTACATCTACTAAAACAGTACTGAATGTTGCTTCAAACTGTGTACAAGCCTACATTACCTGACGAAATAAATTGAAGGTTAGTGATCAGTGGTTGGAAACTCAGTACTGTAGTTATAAATGTGTTTAAATAATTGCCACTGAAATATCTGCAGTTCTCACTAAGCAATTTATCAACCGGAAAACTACACAAAGAAAACCTAACAAGAATATAAAAGCTGGAACCATGTTAAGCGAAAATAGCACAAGAAAACTCACCCTGGATTAAAGACCATTGCGAGCAATTGGTGTGGATGAGTAAAAACGACAAAAAGACATTCAGTATCCTTGAATCACTGGGAACAGATGGCTAAAGGCATGTGATGAAAAAACAAGTGAAACATACATCGATGCCATTCATATGACTTAGGATCGTAGAAAACAGCCATTTAGTCGTAATTATCCACTCCACTAAGGTGGGTTTTCTTAGTGAAAGGGAAATGTAGGATGTCTAAATACTGTGTAACTACTTTATAAAATAACATACTTTTGAATCTCCAGCTTCCACTGAGTTAACTAAATATCGGATAAGCAACTGAAAGCGCTAGTTATGAATTAAATGCTAAAGATTGTCAAATCCAGCTTACGTCATAGTCCGACTTAGGACAATATTTAAACTGTAAGCATTTAATGTATCTTAACAGCTGAACAGCTTAAGAATATGTTAGGAAACAAAGGCACAACAAACCAGGAACGAATTGTATTGTTTTGGTGTCGGTTACTCCAGAGAATTTTGAATCAAATTCCAACCTTAAATAAAAATTTTTACATAACACAGATAGACAAACCTAAAGCTTTGAATTGCATGTTTCCTCTGTATAAAACTACGCCAGTTTTTCTAAAGTTTAATGAATTTCCTGCAAATTCAGACAAACCTGGATGACTACTGCCGACAAAGCTTTGACTTTTGCGTCACGTCTTTCATCTCTTTGCTTTCTACTTTGCTCAATGAAAGCAGTCACTTCCGGTCTAACCTCCTTAAACATAGGTCATAAAAATTCTACTTCATAACGACTTAGCGCCGTTGCACACATATTTGAAAGTGCGTATGTAGAGTGAAGCTGAATTAGTATCCAATGTCAATTTCAGACCCAGTCATTTTGGTTGGTGCCCTGTTTAATGTGTTTTCATGCATTTTCTTGTAAGTATACGTCATTTTTCATGCAAAAATTCCTCATTTCTATGATTGGTCGGCTGAAGGTCACTCGTGCATTCGCATCCCTTGAGACGTTATTGTATAACCTTGCCAGTCGACCATTCGCACAAGCACAACTTCTAGGAATCACTTCTAAGATTTCACTACTTGGTGGTGGGACCATTACTCTTCAGAGACATAGTCTCCTACTGGCCTTTGAACCGTTCTGCTGCGTCTTTCGAAGATGCAATGAACCGATGGGAAGGAAAACAGAAGACACACTAGATCGGTAGTCGTTTCTTAGAATTTTGAACATCGTGATCTCTGCCTACCATATTATTAGGAGGTGGAGTTTTCTAGTTTGCAGATCACAAGAGATACATGCAAAGAGGTGGATATTTCACTGATATTAGTAAAAGCCGTTCATATAGCCCACAAGGATCCCAAACTTTGTATTGCCACCACGCAGCGGTGTAGCATTTTTTTTGGTTCTTGACTTCGACATTTGGATCCGTATGTGTCCGAACCCCTGGTAGCATTATTCTCTTTGCACCATATCAGCTTCACGCTTAAGTGCTTGATATTCATTGTTTGCTCAATTTGCCGCCTTTTATGGGAGCAGGCATTCTTTGGACTAGTTTAATCGTCTACTGAAACCTCATTCCTATGTAAGCACCCGACTATCACCCTTATACCCTCTTCATATGTTGAGGTCATCTGCGTAGAGGACCATAGGAGATTAATTAGACGAGGTTATTCACTGATATACGGAATTAATAAGAGAGGTCAAGTACATTGACATGTGTCACGACACTACTTACGGTTGTTCACGAAGAGAGTCTTGAGTTGAACCTGACTTTTTCTCCTGCCCATTATGAATTTCTTCATCCAGTTTAGATGAGCCCCTCGATCCCAAAACTTTTGTGAACAGCATTCATCGATAGCCTTGCCAAATTGGATCTGACCCACATTACTTTTGCTGTGAGATGGTTTGTCAAGCACAGCTGGTTTCTCCACATGGCGCTTTTTGATTATTCCCTCAATATTCTGATTGAAATGATAGATGAATGAGGGTTACTGTAACGTCTTTACTGTCGCATAGTTAGGCTCCATTTGGAAGGAAGAGAGAGCCTGATGACCGCAGTCAGTGGAACGCACACGTGATCTACCGGATCCGTGGAAAGCCTATGGTGAAGGTCATCGTGTCCCATTGATTTCCCCGTGAGCTGTATATTTAGGAATTGGGGCGCGGACTTTCGGACTATGTCAACGGAATCTAACTCGTTTTCATCTAACATGACAAGAGCTGATGTTGGAGACGGTGAAGACTCTTGTGTAAGGACTCTGAAGAAGTTGTCCCTTATTGCTTCCATGTTTGCCTGATCCCGTCAGATTCTGTTAAATGTAGTCTGGTCTGGATTACATTAAACATCTTATTCCTATGGTTCATGTAGGGAAACATTTCTTCGAGTTTTACCACTGAGCTTGGCGCTAGATGCAATTCTAAATTCATCCAAGATTGACGAAACCATCGAAAAGCTTTGCTTCTGACTGTGGCGTGCAACATTCTGGCCTCTGACGTCCCGAGGGCAGTAAAAAGATTCCAGCACCTATGCATACACCTAAGTATTCTACGAGTCTCCCAGTTAGTCCATGTGCGGAGGGAATGTTTTAGACCATTTGGGACAGACCGTGGAATAAATACATGTATTCATGTCTAAAGGTGATACTGCTAAGAATGTCCTCATGTATCGATGTATCTGGTGGCCTAATGGGAAGCATCCATAATGAAAGCTATTGGGACGGTCTCTAAGCAATGCAATGCTGCAACTACAGCTACTGCAAAATATATTGGAGCTTAACATCAGAAACGGACGGAGGGTGGTGCATTCTGATCAGCAGGTATTGCAGTATAGGCAGCAACACACATTTTTTGACAACTCGAGAATTAGACATTAGTCTAGATCCTTAACAAAAAATAAGGGTTGTACATATCTAAATTATTAAAAATGCTTTTGCTCCCACCATCTTCCGACCAGCTCAGCTTCTTTTCAAGATGCCACCCCATGAGACCTACAGATACTCGTGAGATATCTTACAAGTTAGCTTCTCCTACAGGTTCTAATCTCCCACATCTTTGCAACCATCTCTCTCTGAAATAACACTTATCTACTTCGCGATAATTTTTTTATTTACGCACTATTCTATTCAATTTTATCTTAACTACCTCGGCCTTTATTAAAGCAAGAACTTACTCTTTGTTCACATTTGCTTGCTTAAATTCTGGTTGCTTTGATTAAAAACACGACAAAACCAATGTTACAACAAAGCTATATTTTCATCGAAAACGTCATAGTGTCCATGCTAAGGCCAATATATGGTTGGCATTAAACATTTCAAGTGTATACTATCATTCCAAGGAGTCCCCAGCTCCTTCTTGTATTTATCTTGTAAATGCACTTCCAATGATGTATTATCCGCAGTTGCATTTTATACCATTTTGCAGCTTCCCAAGACGTTCTTCTCTTCCTGAAATAGCGTTCAGTCACGTGGGTGGCATAGCACTTACCCAAATATTTGCTGTTTATCGGTTGTCCATAACTATCAGCAGGAAACGGAAAGAAGTTTGGGTTGTTGTTCAGCTTTGAAGGTGACCTCAGTGAAGTGCTTGCAATTTAACATTTATGAGAACCTATTCTGGCTGCTTGTACCATGATTCAACAATTCAAACCTTTGAAAATGTGCCAGTCTAAGCTAATTCAGGATTGTAATTTATAACATAACTGTTCGTGCCTGTAAACATGGCATGCATTTCATGTAAACTTACCCGTTTATATGAAATATGAATTATTATATAAGCAATTTCTCGAACTCAGCAAACTATGACTTCTGAAACATTCGACTTCGAATGTAGAACTTCACTGTTGTAAGGTACTTTTTGAATGGAAGCACTTATTCAAGCAGTTCTGTCATTTTTTATCATTAATAATATTGTTTTGGTTTTCACTGATAACGTAGCACCCTTGGCCAGACGACGATAAGTATGGGCCAGACTTGAGAAGCCCTATACATCTAAATGCCTTATTTCACACAAACTCAGAAGTTTAATAAAGTCAACAGCTTTGTCGGTGCTCATGAATCCAAACAAAGATTTTCAGTTTGTGTTGAAAGACCTGTGATCCATATTAATGATTTTCAGTCAGGTATTCGTGCTTATTTAACCCCGCGGATCAGTTTAACTTAAGGCCTCGATTCGGCTTTTATCAAGGGGTGGTTCTAACAGTTCATGTCTAGACGGGAAAATGTGACCACTGACGATTTCTGTTACTGTGTCCTTTAAATGTTAATAGTTGTATACTTCTGTTGCTAATAAACCCTTAATCCAAATAATCCTGACAGATACGAATATCTGGCTCCTGTCATCTCATCTATAATTGTCTGATTTACCAGCATTCGGTCAACACAGGCTATCTCAGGGTCACTGACTTTTGTTACAGTCATGAATTTAACAACTTGACCGAGAATGTTCGTTCTGAACTAATCACTCCCTCATTGTGGTGTGCCTAACCCTGTCCGAAGTTAAACGTTGACGAACGCAGCTGGATTTGTATCAGTAGTAGTAATCTTGATTTTACTTTTGAAGTAGATGAACAGAAATATCCAAACTTAAGCTAGTCGCAGACCTCGACAACAGATACTACAGTAATTTAACGTTCCAGAAAAAAGTGATTGTAACGCACGTAAAACACATAGGCTTCTGGGTTAAAATACTCGAAATTCTGTTTAAAAATAATGATTTATATTTCGTATAAACGGGTAAGTTTACGAGAAATGCATGCACAACTTGTCACCTGAAGGTTCAATGGTCCGACAAACGTTTCAATTTGCACGGAAAAATAAGTTTATCGCTGATAGGTTTGACTGATTTAACGGACTTCGTTTATCCCCTACACCGCCTTGGTCAGTGGCCTAGCTAAAGTTTTAGTACTATTAAGGAAATGTGAATCTAAAATACTTAATTAAGCGGGAATACACTCTAAAGAGCAATGTATTTAAATGCAGTAAACATAGAGTTTATTCGAATGAAATACTTTTTAAACTTGTCCAGCTTATGGGCTAAGACCAGAAACTCAGAGAATATGGGCGCTAAACAACACAAAATAATTTGAAAAGTGATTTCGAAGTATGACCGAATAGGTGCAAAATTAAGAGAAATTTAAAAAACCTAAGCATCCACGGGTTTATTCAGTTGTCGAACCTGATCTGCCAAATAAAATCATAGTTGAATTATGAGGGAATCGACTTGTAACGACTATTCTCAGTGGAAAATTCAAGTTTCACATGAAAATGTTTCATACATTTTTTCAGGTGATTCACTACTGAAAAAAAGTTAATGGTAGTTTTTATAAACCTTTAAATAAGCCCAAGCAAAAAATATTTATGAAATTCTCCTCTCTTTCTAGACAGATATTTTCAGTAAACTCTGGTATTATTTTAGTTTCTTTTATGGGGTAAGACAGCAAAAGCAAACGTTCAAATATCTTATTATCGACAAATTCTTAAAACTAGCACAGGATGAGAACCATTAGAAACAAGATGGAGAATCCGTATGTCAGACATGTAAATTGGTTTATTTGATTACTGACCTATCTTTCAGTTGCAGAGAAAATAT